ACCTGCCCTGCTCAGGTCCAGCTCATGTCCTAAAGGGTCCCGGCATCTTCCTGGCTTTTATCGGCACCCTCATGGTTCTCCTTCGCTGTCAGCCATCCAGCCCCGGTTCCCCGCAGCGTTTTTTGGGGTCTCGGACTCCAGCAAAGCCCCGCTGCTCAGGGATGCATTATCTGCCGTCCTCTCATCATCTGACATCCCTCAGTCCGGGGGGCTTCGCCTCCCTCCCCCAGCTCTTCACAGCAATCCCCACCATTTTCCACCATCATTTAAGTTTCTGAAGTAATTTCTTTTTTCTTTTTTTTGTCCTTTTTTTTTTTTTTTTTTTTTTTTATTTTAAAAGCAAACCATCTACCATATGTTCTCCCCTGAAAGGGGCAATTGTTAACAGATCATTAAAACACCGTGGCGAGTGCTCTGAGATTCCTTCCCTCGGTCTTACGCATTATCCCGTCTCTGTCACCCTTTCAATGCGGCTTTGAGGGCTCTGCTTTTCTAACTTCCTTCTTGGGGGGGGGGTTGGAAAAATAAAAAAAGAAGAGAGAAAGAGCCACTAAAATGACCCTCTTCACAGCTCTCCTCCTTGCTTTTCAATGTCAGCAATAATTGGGGTGGGGGGCTGGCGTGCCGCTGCTGCTGTCGCCGGGCTGGGGGTGGCAGGGCCACATCCTGCCCCTCTCAGAAGGTTCCAGGCTTGGGATGGAAGGATCAGGGGTGACAGGGGTGCTGCTGACAGCCTCTCCTCCCACTGCTGGCCTCACGGGAGGCTCAAGCATCCCCCCCGTTCCTGGGATGGGGCTGTGGGCTGACCCCACACGTGTGCTGGGCCAGGACAGCTCCTCAGAGACCTCAGCATTCCCTCGGGTGCATCAGGCGCTTTCAGAGGCACAAATGCATTTTTTTGTGGAAAGAAGCTAACAGCTGAGCCCCGAGATGGAGCTCGGATATTTCTCCTCCCTTTCCTTGAGAACTAAAACTATTTTAGGAAATATCAAGTGATGGGAAGCTGGAGACCACCAGGGGATGGATCTGCCTTGGGTTGAGGGACATTTCCTGCAGGCTCTGTACTCTTGTGATCAGGAGGGACAAGGCTTTTGGAACTCACACAGAAGTTCCCTACCTGCATCTCCTCCCCTTCTGCCATGGATTTGGCCATTTTTCCAGAGGGCTGGACTCACCCAGCCAAGCTCCAGGCACAGCTTGCACCTCTGCTCCACCTTTCCCAGCAACCAGCACGAGGCCCTGTGAATTTTCACTTCCCAATGAAGTGCTGCACAGGGCCCAGAGAGAGCACAAAACCCCGCTGGGAAAGAGGGGGAGAGGCAGCTGTCCCAGAAAAACCCAGCAATGTTTGAATAAAAACCCACAGAAACCTCAAAGCCCTGCACACAGACTTCTCCAAGAACCAATACCCCGCAGCAGCTTTGCCAGGGCCTGCATGGAGCTCCAGGAGCCTCAGAGGGCTCCATTCCCCCTGGCTCCTGCCCTTCAGCCAGCAGGTTTCCCCCCAGGATTCTATGTTTATTTTCACTCGGGAAGATGTGACCTCAAGCTGGAGGAGGCAGGGCTGCTCTGCTTTGCTCCAGCCCTGAGCGGGTCCCAGCACAGAGCCCCTGAGTGTACTGGGAGCACTGGGAACACTGGGAACACTGGTGCCAGGAGCTCCTTCTGCTTGCCCAGGCAAAACCTCCCATCCCAGAAGCCCTGGTGCTGACCCACAAGGAATGTCCAAGCACTGAGATGGGGCTGGGATCAGAAAACCAGCACCCGAATGCCCAAAAGGATGCGGCTTTGTCCTGGTGTGCACATCCCAGGCAAGTCAGGCTCCTCTCTTCTCTTTCAGCGCTTCATCAAGGACAAAACTTCCCACAGGAAAAAAAGAAAAGGTCCTCCTTCAAAGGAGCAGGCTGGGAACACACGGGATTCCCACTTTCCTCAGGGCATTTAACAGCTGCCTTTGCCCAGGGCTCTGAACGCTGCTGCGGGGCAAAATCTTATCCCTTCGAGCTGCAGAGACAGACTTCAGGCCAGCAGCTGAATCCAAAGCCAAGCAGAATTTCCATCCCGAGTGCACAAGCAGATGGAGCCCTGTCAGTTTTGGGCAGCCCGATGCAGTGAATGTGATTTTTGAGACAGCAGCGCTGCTCTCCCACCACAGATGAAGATGCTGCCCTCTCCCCCCGAGGCACAGACATTGAGTGAGGATGCAAAGCCAAAGCAGCTCCCCGGTGCTCCTGTGCTCGAGGTGATGTCCCTGGTGCTCCTGTGCTCGAGGTGATGTCCCTGGTGTTCCTGTGCTCGAGGTGATGTCCTGGTGTTCCTGTGCTCGAGGTGATGTCCCTGGTGTTCCTGTGCTCAAGGTGATGTCCCTGGTGTTCCTGTGCTCGAGGTGATCTCCCTGGTGTTCCTGTGCTCGAGGTGATGTCCTGGTGTTCCTGTGCTCGAGGTGATGTCCTGGTGTTCCTGTGCTCGAGGTGATGTCCTGGTGTTCCTGTGCTCAAGGTGATGTCCCTGGTGATCCTGTGCTCGAGGTGATGTCCCTGGTGTTCCTGTGCTCGAGGTGATGTCCCTGGTGTTCCTGTGCTCGAGGTGATCTCCCTGGCTCGGCACAGCCCACAGGATCCCGGTGAGCACCTGCCCTCTGCAGTCCAACACCCAGCACATCATTTCTTCCCAAAAACCAATTCCTGAACCCGCACAGGAACCTTGGAAAAACCAGAAAAGTGGTGAACGCTGGGAAGCCCTAGTGAAGAAAAAGAGAAAAAAAACTACAACTTTTAGCTAAATAGTTTTCACACTGATTATTTTTCCCTGTCAGGGGGAAATCAGCTGATTTCACCTCTGAGGAATGAAGGTGAAGCTGTAACCAGCAGCTGCCTCAGGAACAGATGACAATCCCTGTGGAGCTATACAGGGCTTTCTTTGGAAGCTGTGCCTGCAAAAAGAAGCTTCAGGGGAAAGGGCCACTGAAGAAACCCCCGGTGCCGTGTGGACACAGCGATTTAATTCCCAATTTAGTAATTAATCAGTATGTAATTAGTGCCCTGCGGTGTGTGGCGTGTCCACACCAGCAGAGGGAGATCTGCTCGGCGTTTCTCCTCCGGATCTGCGCTAAATTCAAGGTTTTCACCAAGCAGCAGACACAGCAGGGACTTCACACGATGCTCCAGCCAGGCTCGCCCAGGTTGGTGTGCCAAGGCTGTGCCCTCATGGAACAGAGAGATAAATCTCTTTTTCTGAATGGTGATGGAGGGCAGCTCACAATTGTCAGAGCGCTTTGAAATCACACACACAGAATAATCCACAGTTCTGGGAATTTGTGGTGTTGTCTCAGTCTTTTAAGGAGCAGCCAAGGAGAATTTTCTTCGATCAGGTTAAAGGATGCATCTGTGAGGAGCAGCCCAGCTGTGGCTGCTCCTGCCAGGAGGACTGGGATTAAATTAGATCAGCATTCTTCTCCCATCTGAAGACAATTTTCCCATCAGCTCTCTGGAGAAGGCAGCTGAGCAGAGAATTGCTGCATCTCTCTCCTGCAGCCACCTCCCAATAGGCATCATCCCTCCCTCCAGTCACCATGAAGCCAAGAGCCAATTCCCTCAGATCCTAGGGAATGGGAAGGGTCAATAGCTTTTGAATCAATCATTTATTAAACAAAATCACACAGGGTTTACTTTGTGGTTATCAGGTTGACATCTCTCCCACCCAAACACTGTGAATGACCTCGGGGATGGCTGAGAATTCAGCACAGCCCACAGATTTCCTTCTTAAGGGATAACTGCTCTCCTGTATCCCAAAATACTCTCCCCATTTCATTTAAACCACCTGAAGTTTAACCTTGCTTCTGCCACCTCCCTGTTTCTGGGCTAGCTCGTATTTCACACCACCCCCACATTTAAAAGGCACTATTATTAGAAAAAGAAAAAAAAAAATTACTTTTGTCATTCCCTTTTTCATTCCCACCTTCCCAGCCCAGTCTCTGCTACAAACCAACTTCAGTTTCCCCATCCTCCCCCAGCTCCCCCTTCCTCTCCTGGCACACAAATCCACCCTTAAAACACACCTTGCTTCTTAACTTACCACAACACGTTATTCAAGAAAGAGACCAGGAAAACTGAGGTGACAAGGAGCAATTAAAAAAGTGGTAGCCATGTGCAGGGCCCAACCCTAGAGTGTGCTGTGTAGGCTGGAGCAGGATTTCTCTCCCTAGAAACCACCAGGAACACTGAAGAACTGCATGAGTCCTTTTTTGGCTCCTGGAAATGCATGAAGTTTGCTCAGAAATCCTTGGTGAAGGCAGAGAGTTAAGCAGAGAATGCTGAGTTTTTGAAGAAAGCAGAAAAAAATGTCCAGGACAAGGAAAAAAAAAATGTTTTTGAAAAAAAACAGCAACAAAAAGCAGCAAGGAGGAAATAATATCAGATGTTGCCCTGTTTTTCCTCAGTGGAGTGTTCTGAAAAGCAGAGATTTCCATTCAGGATATAAACCTGCTTTATTCTCATCCTGACTTTGATTTAATTGAAACATGATAATTAGGTTTTGCATTTTGCCTGCAGGCCTGGCTGGGGCTGGAGAGACTGCAGAGAAATGCTCAGGACAAAGGAACTCCAACAAAAACCCCCAGAGCTCTTGGTGGACTAAGAGAAGCAAGGGAGGCACAGATGTTCAGTGACTCTCCAAAACCCCAGGCAGGCAGCACCCAAGCCAGAATCACAGCTCCTGCCACTTCTACCTTTTGATTCAGCATTGGAGGGACAGCCTTAACTCACATGAGAAAATAAAAGTAATTTAACACAAAACCCACGTGCTTTATTTTAAGAAAAACAACTCATTGTTTTTATTTTGACAGTAAATTTTAGAAACATCTTGAAATACAGAACTCCAAAAAAATATAAAGTCTTAAATCACCTAGTTAATTTACTAAAGGGGGGAAAAATACTGTACATCCAAGACTCAAACATCCTCTAAGTTTATACAAAAGCCAGACAGTAACAAACAGCATTAAAAAATAGATCAAGCATTACCTGACTGATCTGACATTGGCATTTGCCCCGTTATTAAAAGGCACAGAAGACTGAGCAATGAAAGCGATCAGCATCACATCCATTATTGTCAGTAAATTCATCATGATTAGCATAAAACCCCGTTATCAAACACATGTTCCACATTCACCCTGTGGATCAGTAAGAAATCTCTCAGGAAGCAGTGAGAAAACAAAGACAAAGAGGACAAAAAACTTAAATACAACACCCCGGGACGCAAAGACGCTTCCTAGAAATCGACGTTCAAATCTGCTCCGGTTCATTTCTGGCTGCCTCATCACTCAGCAATCACTCAGAAGGAGATTTAATGATCCACAGGAGATTTAATGATCCACAGATCACAGATCCACAGGAGATTTAATGATCCACAGATCCACAGGGGGTTTAATGCACCCTCCGGTCCCGTCGGCAGCGTGGGGCCGCTCCGATGCATCCCAGGTCACCGGAACCGGCTGCTTCACCACCCCCACAGTCTGCAGCAGCCAGCAGGGACCAAAGCTGCTGGGTTTGCCTGGTTTCAGCTGCGTTTTGGGTTCCCCAAGTCACCCCGGGTAACACATGCAGCAGCCGGCTCCGGCAAACTCGGGGGCGGCTCTGTGGCGCGCGTCTCCGAACAGGCTCTCGCTCAGCTTGTGCTCCGTGATGATGTCCTCCACACGGGTGATGTACAGCAGGGACAGCAGCACCCCCAGGAACTGCCAAAACAAGGCAGCTTATCCCACTGGAGAGTTGTCACAGCTAAGGGAGGACCCCCCCTCAAAAAAAACCCCAAAAAACAAACCCCCCCCAAGCAAAAGCGAATTAGCAAACCCTACACAGCGATGCTCCTAAATTACCTCAGTGCCACCTCAGCTCGTCAGCTACACTAAATTCCAAAAGAAAACGATGATTGCAGTGGAAGGAGATTTCCCACACCAACAAATCCTGTCAGGAGCACAGCGTCCCTCTCTTACCTGGGGCAGCAATATGCCGAGCAGCACGCCAGCCATGATGCTGTAGTTGTCCAAAAACCAAATGAGCACAGCATTGGTGCACCCTCGGACGTAGATAACGTTCTGAACGCTCAGGCGCTGCAAAACACCAGAGCCAGGGCTCAGCAGGCAGCTCCAGTGGGCTGTGACACATGAGGCAACCCCAAAACTCAGCCAGGCAGGCTTGGTTTGCCTTCCCACCTCTATAAACCCACGGAGTTTTAGCAAAGAGCTCAGCAGTAACTCTTCCAATCTGCTGTGAAGCTGCTCCTCACCTCAACAAATTGTTTTGCAAAAGTTATTCCACACCTGAGTGAGGAATAATAATAATAATAATAATAATAATAATAATAATAATAATAATAATAATAGTAATACAGTAACAACAATAATAACAACTAATAATAATAGTAAAACAATAACAATAATAACAGCAACAATAATAATAAAATAACAACAACAAACAACAACAACAACAACAATAATAATAATAATAATAATAATAATTTCCTTGTCTTAAACCTGCTGGTTGCAGCTATTTTTCAATAAGAAATGCATCCAAATCTCATTCAAGACCACTTGTAAAGCAGAGAAGCCTCTCCTCTTTTTCAACGCTTCCATGCTGAAAATCCAGCAGTGGAAAAATACAAATTGAGGAGCAAGTGCTTTGCAAAAAGACCCCAAAAGAGGATAGGAACAAGAGGATTTTGGATTCAGTCCTGCAAGCTGTGCTGCTCTGTGACCCCCAGCCCATAATTTAGAAAGCACTTGAGGCTGCAGAGGGTCCTAAGTGGATGAATGAAGTTAAGCAGATGCTGAAGTGCTCCCTGGGGCCTTCAGGTGATTAAGCCACAAATCAATGAATCTAAATGGAGACAAATTGTATTTAAAGGTAACCTGTAATCCCAAAAACCAACAACCGAGGCCGGCATTGTGCTCCAAGTGCCTTAAATGAGCTGGGGAGAGGAGCTTTTCCAGACCAGCCCCCGCCCTGCCTCATCCCAGCGCTCCAAAGCCGGGAGTGGAGAACTCAGGACACATCCAATTACTGATTTCCCTTCTTAATCACTCTGCAATTACTGCCTTGAGCTGGCAGCTTCTCCTCTGGAGTCACTGGGGCTGTTCCCGAAAGGAAAGGCAGAAGGAGGAGGCCCCATCCCACTCCTGGACCAGGGAAGTCCCACTGCTCTTCCAGAAATACTATCACAGGCTTTAAAATAAAACACCCACTCCTGGGATATAAAATACTTAGCTAAGCTGGCTTTTATCAATGCCAATTTTACTCAGTGAGAAACTCTAGCTTTTAAGTACTAAAAGCTTTCCCCAGCTCGAGGCACTGCTTCAGATTTTGAAAGCAGCTTTTTGAGGGTTAATTGTGCAATTAGCTTGGGGAAGTTGTCAACAAACAAGGAATCCTAGAAAATGCAAAGAAGGGAAGAAACAAAAATCAAACAAGATTAGTTTTTCCTCATATATGAAAATTATTCCAGGAAAAAAGAACCATTTAAATTGCCAATTTAACTTCCTGGCAGATTAAAAAAACAGCACACAGAAAAAACACTTTTGTAACAGATCAACAAAAAAAAAAAACCACAGAGAAGCAGCACCCTCTGCCATGACAGGGTGGTCACTGGCTACGTTACCTCTTGGTCAATGGTTTTGTATCCACACATAGTGTTGATAATGTCTGTCTGAAAAGAAAACAAGAAATATGAATTGCAGCAGGAAATGAAAATCACAAATATATTCTTTTTACTCTGTGTTCACCCAGCTCACGTGAAAACAACGACAGGTTTATTTCCCAGTCCAACACCAGTTTTATCCCAGCAGCCCCAGGGTCAGATTTAGTTAGATTTTAGAGGAATGAGTATTGTCAGTGTGTCACAAGACACTGAAACCATTTCTATCCAAAAAACCAGGGTGGCACAGAGCTGTGTGACACAGCTGTTTCCACAGCTGGATTTCCTTTTAAAGCCTTAATAACACACCTTATTACTAAAACCAGGGGTTAACAGAGCCTTCATGCCAAGACAATGACAAATTTAAGCTCAGAAATATCTTCAGTTTCAAATAACTTCCATAATTGAAGGTTTTTTACAAGATTAAGCTCATTATGATATTCACACAACACCATTATATACTGAATATAAAACCTTAAAACCTGTATATTTAAAAGAGACTGAGGGCTTGCCCTCACCACAGATTATTAATGCATTTTCTGTAGCCATGTCATGCCTTTTGTGTGTTCCAAGGTTCTACCTTGAAAGCCTGGAAAAGCCAGCCTGGAAAAATACTCTCCTTCATTTAAAAATCATCCCATGTAAAAACCCACTGGCATCAATGGAAATAGAAAATAGAGACAAAGACATGGAGGGAAAATGGGAAGTTTTTAAGCCCCCCAAAAAGCTGGGCTCTCACCTTGAACACACAGCTGGCTGACAAACAAGGTTCAGCACATTCCCAGAAGAAAAAGCTCGGACTATTCCACAGGGCTGTTGGAAAACCGTGTGGGGCACCCATCTGCCAACCACAGCTCACAAATACACTTGGAAATCAGCAGCAGTATCAGGCAGCAGCGTGTTGTGCTGCCTGTGAGAGATTTCATGTTCCCAAAACCGCTGAAGCCTGAGCAGCTGACACGTGGTCACTCCCAAAATACGTGACCACAAGGAACGCAGCCCCCTCGTTGAACTGGAAACGCAGAATTTACTAACAGGACGCCGTGGCATAAGCACAGATAAATGCATTTGGAACAGAGGTTTACAGGCATTTGGGACTGATTTCTACCTGCTACACTAGTGTAAGTCTTAAATAAATAATTTGACTTAGACATAGTTCCTTTAGACCCTCCCCAGTAGGAGCTGGCTGGTGTTAGCTGGAGGTTTTTACAGAGGATCAGAACCCAGGCACCGACATTAGCGGGAGTTTTCCATGACTACAAAGCCAATGAGTAATCACAAACCATATCTGTAGCTTTCCAGGACAGAAACCAGCCTGTATTTGGAAGGATTTGTCAAACAGACAAGATTGATGCCTCTTGTGGTCGGTTTTTTCCCCGAGGCAGCCGTGCACAGCCCCGGTGCTGGTGTTACCCTGCCTCGAGCACAGCAACAGCATCTCCCCGCTGCAGAGCCACCAGCCCTCACCTGGATGAGCCACACTTCCATCTGGGGCTTCTCCCTGCCTTTCCATTTATTGCCCTGGGTTTATGGGCTACAAGCAGCCTAATCCCACCCCTCCCCAGCTGCCAGTGTAGCACAGGGAGAATATACTCCTTGTTTTTCCCTGGAGAAGTTTTTATTTCAGTGCTTTCCCTTTCCTGAAGGCAAAATCCTGAGTTGCTCTGCTCCATCCAGCTGCAGATTCTTGCTCCCAAACACCTAGGACTCAAAGCATGACTGCTCAGCTTTCGTTTCTGAGAATAAATCAAAGCTCATCACAGATTTAAACAGTCTCATTCCCACACACCAAAAATGTGTGAGCACACGTAATAAACACGAAATTATACACATTTCTACAACACCTAGCAGGATACTGACACCACCATTGCATCCATTTTTCCTTTCTTTTAATTGAGCAGCCACACACAAGGCTGAAAGGGCAGCCCAAAGCAGGATATCCACCATGAGTTCTGCTCCTACTCACACCCCATCCCTGTCTCATGTTCAGACCAGAGACCAGAACCCACTGAGGCAGGGACTGCCTGCATTAGAGTAGTTGAGGAATAGCTCTTTATCAGATTCAGCATTACGTGCATCCCTCAAATGAAGAGCAGTGAATCACAGAATTAAATAAAATGTATATTTGCATGAAAAGCAATGCCTGCTCCTAGTGCTGTCAGCACCAGTTATCACCAGTTCAGCACAGAGTGAGAAACTGGTTCAGACTCCAGCCCTTCCAGGATTTTAGAGGCAGGTACTTTTCAAGGCTAGGCTGGGGCAGACCTGCCTGACCCTGTGATCAGTTGCTCACATTTTTGGATTATTCTGGAGATGACAAGGTCGTTCTGTTGGGTTTTTAATTCACACAGCAGCTGGAGCACATCACTCTGACCCCCACCCACAGAAGCCAGCAGGTCCCAGGCTTCCTGGCAAAGCTGGAGCAAAGCAATCCCATGGGAAAACACCACCAGAACTGAATTTTAAGCATGTCTGGTTCATTCAGATTAGTGGAGCTGCCAACATCCCCTCTGGGGCTGGGATGTGGGTCAGTAAAATGGACCACATCTAATCCATTATTTTCTCCCTTTCCAGCTGTCAAGACCCACAGATCCATTAGAGGAGGAAAGGACCCATTTTTCTTCACTTCTTACCCCAGACTTCCTAAAGTCAGGTACCTTTTTAAGCAAACACCAGTGGTTCCAGGACTTACCTTATTTCTGATGCAGCAAGTGTAGGGCACCCCACAGGCCAGTGGTCCTGGAGCTGCACAGTTGTGGTACACATTTTGGGACCAATCTCTATAATCTTCCCCACCACAGCACTTAAACTGCAGAGAAAATAATAATAATAAAAAAAAAGACACAAAACTCAATGATCTTAAAGGTCCTTTCCAACCTAAAGGGTTCTATGATTCCAAAAGGAAAAGGAAAAACACAATTTGTACCTTAAACTCTTTGCACGAGTAGAAAACAAGGTAAGAATAAAACAATATCAAAAGCCCTGAGCTACCAAAAAATCCTGTCACTTTATCAGCAAGGCATGTATTGAATGCATATGATAAACACAATTAAAAAGAATTAAAAGTAGAGCTAAGGGTCCTCTGTCACTCGCTGAACACAAGGTGCCAGAGCGAAATGCTCGGTGCTAAGTTCCACCTCCCATCTTTTCTGGGTTGAAAAATTAATCTTTCCAGCTCAGGACATCATTAAACAGTGTTTTTACACTGACTCCATCTTGACCTGTCATCTACCTCTGCAGTTCTTTCAAGGATTACAGCTGCATTTCCAACTGGATCTAAAAGACAAAAGCGTTGCTCTAAGGCATAAATTAATCTCAGCAAAACATTGTGGGTGTAGTTTAGAAGAACTGAAAGCTGGCAAACAAATACTGTAAGTTCACACTGACTTAATATAAATATTCACTTTATAATTTAAACTAAGGGAAAAGGAGGGGCTCATTTAACCACTAATGTGTACAGTCGCTGTACGTATCCATAATTTTGGGCAGTGCATGGAAAACTTTAAAGCATTATAAAGTCTAATGACAAAATTTCCTCAGGATGGCGTGCTTCTGACAGACTTTCCATGCTAACTTTGTTTTTCAAAGCAGGCTGCCATCTCCATAACGATGTCCTAGAATACATGTATCATTTCCTAAGTCCCTTTTCTTTAATAACCATTACTTGGCGTGGTCACAGACATTGCATGGGCCCTGACATCACATTTCTGAGCACTTTTTGCTTTCTCTACAGTCTCTGAAGTGCATGGCAGAACTCTCCAATAACCCAACAAACACCTCAACAGACCAGCCTTATTAAAAAACATAAAAGAAAAAAGGCTGTGAGTCAAGGCCACGTGCCATTAAGTAATGCCCAGCTGGGTTCACCACAGTTTCTGTAATTTTAATTACAGGTAAATACTCTTCCACTGGTATTTCCTTCCAATAACCACCTTGTTAAAAAGCTCTGTGCTTGCCCTTGAGCAGCCACACAACAGCCCAGGCTGTGGCAGCCCAAATTCTCTTTATCCAAATTTCTCTTTATCCACTGCCTCCTGTTAACAAAAAGTGCTTCTCAATCCCTTGGAGCAGCCAGCAGAAATGCTGAGTGCAAGGCCATGGGTGGAATTTAGGCTGAATTTGTCTGAATCCAGCTGTGGGGCCACTATAAACCCACAGGTTTGTAGGATCTGCCTGTGAGCATTTGAATTGCACCTGCCAAGGCAAAAGCTGCATTTTGGCCCCCTCTTTTTGCAGTGATGTAAGAGGGCTTTAAATGCCAGCTGGAATGCTGGATGAGCCCTGACCTCAGCAGCAACACCATGAGAGATGACACACAAGATCTCATCACTAACAACTCGCTTGTCACATCACTGGAAAAACTCAAAGCTGCTGCTGAGTTAGTCCAAGGGGAAAAAAAAAAAAACCAACTAAAAAACCCAACCAAACCTGCTTTTGAACAGAATCCATGATGTTCTTGAAGTCTAAATCATCGTAGTAATTCTCAATTCCTCTTCTGATGTTATCATTCAAAAATTTGATTGTCTAGAAAGCAAAAGGAAAATGAGATTCATGGGTTGCACAATGGGCACATGGGCTGGAACAGAACTACAAGAGCAGGTTAAAGTGAAAAGTGTAACTGATGGGAACAAAATAAAAGGTTTGGTTGGTTTTTTTTTAGAGAAAAAAACCAAAGCACTTCTTAAAAACAAATTTTAGCACAGCCCTGCAGGGATCAGCCATCTGTTCTCCTCTGCAGAAGGAGCCTCACTGCTGGCTCTGGGCTGGGAAGTATGATACCTCTCGCTGCTGTGAGTCTCCAAGCATCCCCCAGAGATGTTCCTGTTATCCCCAGGGAGGATCCCTGGCACTGGGGACCCTCATCACCCTCTGGATGTCAGAGCAGTGGGTTTGGGTGGTGGATCTTGGCACTGTGGTCTGCACCACGCCCCAAGCAATGAGACCTGACTGTGTCACCACCGTCGGTGAATTTTATTTTCCATGAATTTTCTTATTAATTTGATTTTTCCGAAGAGTCCATAATTGCCAGATAGAGAGCTTTATTCCACATGGAGTGGAAAAAAAGGTGTATCTGCATGTTTTATAGTGGTTGTGTTGAGAAATTCAGCAGTGAGGCAAGGTATAAAATGGAATCTCCTCAGCATGGCATATTATAAATTAAATCAACAAAGTGTTTTTAAAGTTCAGAAGATGAGATAAAAGAAAAAAAATATATTATTATTAAGTTAAGATCCAGCACAATCTCAGCACAGCAAAACCAGGGTCTAATCACAACAGAATGTAATAACTTTCCTTTCAATCCAGCTGCTGAAATGGACAAAACTTAAAGCCTCATAGGTCAGAAAACCTGAAATACACCCACTCATCTTCTCAGTATTACAAACTGCAGCACTTACAAGCTAACCAGAACAAAAAAGGATGATCACATCAGTGATGAGAAATAATACAGGACCCTCCTAACTGGTCAACAACCTCATTTTGACTCTACAGATTTGAAAAGGAAGTAGAGAAAGAAATGGGGAAAATGCATGACATGCACAACTGACAGGACTTAAATAGAGGCTACCACCCAAAGCATCCATAAACCTTTTCTTGTTCTCCCCATACTAACCCAAACTTCTCCACTAACCTTGAAAAACAAGAAACCTCTCCCTAAGTGTGGCTGTCCTGCTATGAATGGAAGCACAGACATCTCATCTTTGCCATAGTGAATACTTTTATGTTTCAAAGCATTTCTAACTGAAAAAAACCAGTCTGCTGCTTTCTGTGCAGAAAAATCAAGGCTCTAACACAGTTACAGCTTGTCAATGATAGAGTCTCCTATATAAATTTTTTATGGATGTGGGCAGGGAAGAGCTGTCCTTCAACTGAGGCAAAACACTTTGGCCACTAAAAAAAAACAACAGTCTCCAAATCCATCTGGAAACTTCCCAAATTAGCAGTCAGACCCAGATGGCAAAGCAGAAGAAAGCATTTTGTCAGACACGAAGAGCTGGAAACTTGTTTTGCTTGTGTTGCACATTTGTAGTCACCGGATCTTCGTTAACCTGGAATTTCTCTCCGGAATGGTGGCAACGCCCCAGCTTGGTCACTGAACCCTGAAAAGCCTGCACCTGCCTCCAGATCTCCATCAAGGAGTGCTCAGGAGCTTGACCAGCTGTTATTTAGCAGAGCTGAATCCTATCAGAACCTGAAGCAAGCAGCTCACCTGGTTCCTGAAGATCAGGGCCACCACTCCACCTGTCAGCTCGATCAGCAAGCAGATGCCCAGGATGTACATGAACTGCAGGAAAACAAGTGCAAGTGAGGCATTAGACAAAACTCCAATTACTCTTTCAATTAGTGCCCTTAAGTCTAGCATTCAACTGCCAATAGACTTGGCTTTCAGCATGGCATTTTAAATGAAAATATAAAATGATGGGTTTGTTCAAAGTGCCAATGTCATGAGAAAGCCTTTTTTCCTCACTTAAATTATTCTGGGTTTTGCCCAACTGGCAAGCACATTATTTTCTTGCTCTGAACAGACCCAAATCCATTAGATGTAATTATCCTGCCAAGATACTCCTTTCCACAGGAGCATCCCAGAGAAGCAGACTGATGGCCTGCTACAAACCACACCACACTTCATGTTTCCATGCTTCCCACAAAACCAGAACTTTTAGCTTTCAATTAGTGGATAAAGCAGCACACCATATGATGATCCAAACCACCTTCTACTACTCTGCCAGTGCTAAATCAAAGCAAAAATTGCAGGCTTGGTACCTTTTAGCGTGCTGCTTCCCACATTTATCTGCCTGTGTACATACACGTGCTCACAAATGCACTCACACACAACCCCGTGTGCAAACATGTGAAAAATGTGAAGAAATCCATTGCAGTGTGAGAGAGCTGCAGCATGCCAGTACTTGGAATGTTTATCCAACCCTCCAGGCAAAAAAGACAGGTGTTAAGCAAATTTAGGTCTGCTATATAGCAATGAACTCCGTCAGGAGTGAAGTTTTAAGATGCCTCATCTGAAAATAATCCCTAAATCAGCTCCTCTCTGAAAGCTGCTTTCACTTCTGTGTGCTCAGTGTCAGGAATTCACCAGCCAGGTGTCTTTTCTCCTGCTAAATCTGGAATCAGCCTGGGAAGCTGGCATCAGGGACCTGCTTTGTTGAATACCCAGCTGGGTTTGCTACCAGAATGGGAACAGAAAATGTTCCTGGCACCTGACACATCAGCACGCTCAGTGGGAAAGAAGCCTAAGGAGGGGCTCTCGGTAAAATTCCAGTAGAACTTCAAAATCCATGGTTATTTCTGGCTTTGCCCTCCATAACAAACCATGTGTTTAGCTTGTTGTTAGACTGAACTGACATGACAAGGCCAGGCTGGGTGGGGTTTTGAGCATCCTGCTCTAGTGGAAGGTGCCCCTGCTCATTGCAAGGGGGCTGGACTAGGTGGCCTTTGAAAGGTCCCTTCCAACCCAAACTGCCTGTGACTCTGTGCAGGGGAAAACAAAGTGTTACCCAGGAATCTCCCTAAAATCCACCTTTCCAGAGGCACTAGGGAGGAAAAAAAACCTTGTCCCTTTCATTTCACCCTCAGGGCTTTTCTCCCCAAGGCCAGAGCTCCATGTTTAAGTTTGGACACGCATTTTTCCATCTCCCCTCTACATTCCACTGCCCAGGGGAGGACAGACAGACACACCAGCCTGCCTGAGCCAGGGTTTCTCTCTTGAGCTGCACCCTCAAAAACGAGCAGCCAGCATCTGGTCAGCAGCTGAGTTTGCACAGGATACACAGGAACTCACTCAGGATAATTCCTGGTTATTTCCCACAACACCTGAACTGCTGGGAAGCTTCTCCAGCGCTGGGCTCAGACCCTCATCACAAGACCGAGTGCTGCTGCTCCCCGAGGGAGGAACAACAGCCCACAAAACTCAGATTTAATTAAATTTTTTTGATAAAGCAGCTTGGTTAAAATATTTTTCAGTGCACTCACAGCTCTGGATGTGTATTCAGAGGGTGGTGAAAAGGAAAAGTAACAAGCCTTAGAAACTGGGAATAAAAATTCCAACACTTACTGCTTGCAGAAGGCATAAATTGTCTCTTAGAGAAGCCAGTACACCCACAAAGGATACCAGGAACATTACAATGCCCAGAAGTATTAAAATAATTGCTGGGGCTAGAAAGGCACTTTCTAGAGTTTTGTACTTCTGTCTTTCAATTTCTGCATAAATCCCAACGGCGAGGACGAGGGCTCCAATCACCTGGAAGAGAAACAGAGGAGAGCAGGGATGTTACTCTTTCTCCAAATAAACACAGAAGATGACAGGTTGTGAGTACACAGGAACCTGGCACTGCTCACTTCAGGATTTGTTATAAACAATGAAACACCCAAAGCAGAAGTTTGGATTAAAAAAAATTTTAAAAACCACAAAAACTCAAAGATTAAAGAGGAAAAAGAGCTGAATTGAAAAAAATAATAAACTAAACTTGTTCATTTCAAAAAATATATTTCATTATGTTTTAACATTCTAAGTTAAGCTAATTAAAATATACATCACTGGCTGAAATGTAATTTATTATCCATCTGAGATCACATCTATTACATATATGAGTAACTGCCATGGCATTAATGAGTTTCCTTTGCGTGTCTGTCTGTCCTTCCCTCTGTGTGCATAAATGTATTGAAATATGGATGTGCCTCTAACATAACACAGGTTTGAGCTGGTCTGCAAACAGCTTATCTGCCCCTCCCACTCTATTTAGACTCAGTAAATACAGATATTTCCTATACCTCCACTCCTCCTGCCATCAGGCACCAGATTAAAAACTAAAAAATTTTAAAAAAACAACAAAAAAACCCCCAAGATTGAAATTTTGTCGCTTTCTTGAGCACAAACCAGATAAAGCTGACAAGTGAAATAGGAAGGGACATATTTCATTCAACAAGGTAAAGATACTTCAATAAAAATAACCAGTTATGTCAAGATCATTTGATATTAAAACTGTGGTGTGCTGCAGCAAATCACTTTGAATTACTCTGAAAAAATTAGAATTAAAAATAGCCCACGATATTTAATTAGAAAAATTGCAGTGGAAAAACTTTGCTGCTGACTCCAACAGCCAGACACGTTGTCAGGGAAGAGACCAGACACAAATCAATCATTTTGGCAATCTGATAAACAACCCTCCCCTTTCCTGACCCGACATTTCTACGGGAAACTCTTAATTATACTTCTTAATTCTAAATTTCACTTCTTAATTTTGGATGTGATGCAGTACATCCTGGACAAAGGGCTGAAGAGACACACGATGTGAGTTATGAGTTTATGAGCCAAACAGTTGAAATCCTTTTTTAATTATGGGATATCTTAAAATAAATAGCAACTTACTGGAAGTTCTTGATTTTCTATGGAAATGAACAACGATGCCAAAGGACAATATGTAGGGAATGCCATCAGTTTGTCATTTAAAGAGAGAAAATTCTCATAAAAAGTAAATATACTGAAGCTATTTAAAAAGCAACTTTAATACTGACCAAATTGAGAGTATCCCCAAAACCAGATTCTCCTGCAAACACTGAAGTGCCATTAATAACAATAATTCTTGCCTGGTAGATCCCTTGAAAAAAACACTGGACATAAACCACAGCTATGAAAGCTTGTTAGGGATTATCAGAACCTCAGAAGAGTGGTGTTTCAAGATCAGAACTTTTTATTTAAATGTCTTTTTCTTAACTGTGGTTTTCTCATCAAAGCATTCAATTTCAGGAGGGTTTTGGCTAAAAATTGTGAGTAAAATACAAGATACTTCCTACTTTAAGAAAATAAGATACATAAACACACACAGCATCTTTATATACACATATCCTCACCCCTTTTCACTTCCATTTGGGCTCCCACAGCCCCCAAGATTTCTGCTTTCATTATCTTCTATTTTCTTAAGCATTTAGTAAAAACCTTTTAAACCTTTAATACGGTCAAACACCAGCAGCAGCATTTAACTATGGCAAGCAGATGTGCTGAGCCAGCTGCCATCCCACCCGAGCCTCCCCTGGGATCTGTGCTCTCCCTTCCTGGGGTGGGAACTCACAGGGATTGTTGACATCCTGCATCCTTCACAACAGTTCCCAGTTTGGCAATTCCAGCTGTGTACACAGGGAAAATTAACTGCCCTGACTCACACTAAATGAGCATCCACCAGCAAACAACAGGGGATTTCTCTGGGGCTTTTGCACACACACAGAGAAGTTGCTTTCCCAAGAGAAAGGAGAAGCATTTCTTTATTTATTTACAAGCAGAAGGCTTAACCCTGTATTTACAGTTCTTTTTTCTTAAATAAAGCTCAAGAACAGCAGAAAATGCTGGGTTTTGTTTCAGCTGGGCAAGAAAATTACATTACAGCCCCATTCACCAGCAAAAGAGTTGTCTGAAAAAGAAAAGAGCTAGTTTTTAAAAAAGGCCTGGGTGACAGGGGAAGACCACAAGGCCTGTAGCAAACATCACCTCTGACACTCCCAGCAAAGCTTTAATTTCCTTTCTGCTCTGGATAAGGCTGGGATTTAGTTCCTGGTGCTTTAAAGCCATCCTGGGGACTCAAATCCGGGACTTCATCACTAATATTGTAGCAGAACTGCAACAGCAGGGAGGGAATTGAATTAGGTCAATTTTGGGCCATCCAAAGCTCCAAAAAGTAGCAGAACATCACAAACCACCCAATATTCAACAAAGCCAACGCTCCCACAGCCAAGCTTGAATTCCATTTAAACTGATTAAAGGAAAAGAAGAAAAAAATAAAGAAAAACAAACAAAAAAAAAAACACCAAGCCAACAAACTCAGCAAAGAATACCAGTGCTGAAAAGAGTGACATTTACAGCTGATGAGATCTGCAATAAAAGCAAATTCCGCGAGCGAAGCCCACACGCCTCGCACAGCCCGGCGCGTGGTCGGCCCCAGCTCCAGCAGGATGCTGCCCAGTGCCAGCCTTTTTGGGAATTTTTTGATTTTGGGAATCCCAAAACAATTCCCTGGCATTCCCTGAGGCTCCTGCCCCCTCTGCCAGCCCCCATCCTCCCCCCACCCAGAGCAAAGCATCAAGCAAATGGAAGCTGTCGCTTATAAACGAGGGCAGAACATTGAAAATCCAGAGCGAGCAACTACAAAGAGTAAATAAAATCCTGAAAGGGGCTTTGTGCTCCGTGGGAGCTCTGAGGATGGTTTCAGAAGGGCCCTTTCTCTGCCACCAGATGAACGTTTACATCCCACCGACAGAAAACGCGGAGCAGACAATGCGCGCGGTCCTTCGCCGCAAAACAAAGGGAAAAAAAGGGTTAAAAAATAACACAACAAATCTGAATTTCCCTTTTCTGAAACTCACGACCGTAGAATAGCCGTGGAGGAACACAGGGAGCATCAGGAGCCTAAACACAAGGCTTGGTTTGTCTGCTAAGACAGACAAAAGGTATCCAAGATGTCAAAAAGCCTGAATTACACCCAAGAATTTTGAGTTTCAATCTTTGTTCATTGAATCATAGGTTGAATCTGACACTCGCTATCGAAACCTGGTGGGTCTGAGCCTCTTCTCCCACGCAGCAAAGCAAAAGCCTTATATTCCCAACTGCTAAATACCAAGTCAGACAAAAACAGACCAGCCAAACTAGAACTTAAGCATCGTTTAAAGTGAAAAAGACAAACAGAAAAAAAAAAACCCTGCCTGAGCACCTCTGACATCAGCAGCACCTGAAGCCAGCATCTTCCCTGTATCCCCGAGCCTGAAAAGAGCACCTTTAAAAATCACCGTGCTTACAAAGAGCCCTTGCAAAGGGCCCCAAGGGCTCCTCCCAGCCCAGCAGTGCATTTACCTCGTGTCACAAGTCAGTGCTCATAGTCTGGACCCATCCCCCAGGACTCCCTGGCTTTACCAAACACCGGGATGGGGACAGCAAGTGCCCCACACACACACACACACACACACACCCGGGAGCTCTGCAGCAAGTGCCCCACACACACCCGGGAGCTCTGCAGCAAGTGCCCCACACACACACACACACCCGGGAGCTCTGCAGCAAGTGCCCCACATACACACACACCCGGGAGCTCTGCAGCAAGTGCCCCACATACACACACACCCGGGAGCTCTGCAGCAAGTGCCCCACACACACACACACACACCCGGGTGTGTGTGTGTGTGTGTGGGGCACTTGCTGNCCCCGCCGGGCCCTCCGCCCCTTCCCGGCGCTGGCAGCGGCCGCCCCGCCGGGCGGGCCCGGGGCCGCTTCCGGCAGCACCCATGGGGGAGCTGCCCGCCTCGGCCTTTCGTCCTGCTCCTCGCTTCTCTTTCCTTTCTTTTTCCTTTTATTGATTTATTTTTGTTGTAATTCCCCCGGGCGCTCGGTGGGGATTCGCGCCGCAGCCGGAGGAGGCAGGAGAAACGCGAGCCCAAAAGAGTTCTGCCACCGCCGCAGCTGAAAAAAATCCATAGGGGCACGGGAAGCCGCTCGGATTCTCGGTGGAGCAGGCAAAAAGATGGCAAAGGAGAATGGCTACGCCCTGCACCGACACGAGGAAGGGTTAGCAGGGCATTTACCTCCCTCCGTGTCAGCCCGAGCAGGGAGGGTCACGTCCTGCCCATAGCATCAGCTCCTGGGTTTATTGTGCTGGCCACGCTTTGTGTCCGCACCGACCTTCATCCACGTCCCGCTGCTGTGGCAGTAGGTCCCTGTTGGGTCTAGCACAGCGATCATGAACTGCGAACGCCATTCATGCCTCCCAGATGAAATAAGCCCTTTCAAGCCCGCAGTGCTGCACTCCTCTCCCACAAAGGGCTATTTTCCCCCCGGGGGGGAAAAAAAAAAAATCTCATTCAGAGTGGCAGACAACTGTCACAGAGTTGGTTGTTTCATCCTGGCCCGGAGCAGAGACAGATGGAAGTGAAAATCAGTGTCTGCTGTCAGAGGAGATGAAGTGGGGCAGCGTTTATCCTCAAGTTACCTAGCAAAGAGACTGGAAAACCTCTGAGCTGCGTATGAGAACTGTGTAAACATCAGTCACACAGCATTTCTTTAGGTCATGCAATACACCAAAACCTCGTTTCCAAAGGCTAAAAAATATCCCTGGATAATTCTATTATAAAAAGTAACATTGCTATCACCTGCAGTGCTACTACATTCTGCTTCTGGAAAACAACCCAGCCCAGGATGTTTGTAGCTCTTCACCCCTAGTGTTTCTGACAGTAGTATAATGTCCTAGAGCTAATGTATTCATGTAGCTAATGTCCTAATGTATTCATCCTCTAAAATATCAACAACTTCAATTTTCAGAGAGATTTGCAAATACCCCTGACACTCAGCAATGGCATGCAGGGTGGAAATCCCATCGTGTTAGTGAATTAGTGTCTGTCATGTGCTCTTCGTGTCTCATGGGTTTCATTCACATCCAAACATGTTCTTGTCACTTAGGCATCTTCCTTGTTTGAGTATTTAACTAACTGAATTGTTCTGCCTGGACTTAATTTTTAATACCTTACCTTGTCCTTTGTGCTGGTTTCCTGCATATAAAATTTCGGGGCACATCCTGCTGGATGGGGAAGCTGAGTAAAGGAGTGTTGTTTTCCTTCAGAACTGAGTCAACGCATCAAAACAGGTTCCTGTTGTGAAACTGCATGACAATAACTGAGTAATCCCTTTCTTTTCCTGAATCTCAGACTTTGTCTATGCAAATGGCAAGATTTCTGGACACAATTATAGTTCAGCAGCAAATTTAAAGGTTAAAGTAAGATGTTATGAACAGCCTCAGGGTCCATGGTGATTGTGTTCTCCCCACCTCAGCCCTGGGCAGCACAGGGCTGCAGTTTTCCAAGGAAGAGCCTGGCAGATTGTTCATTACAGCATCTGGTCCTGGGACCATCCAACAGCACAACTGGCAGTGGTTTTGTTCGTATTAAGGATCGGCAACTTCCACATTTCCTCATTCATCGCCAGGGGCTGTCCTAAAGACACCAGAAGCCAAAGACTGCAGAGCACTTGCCCCAAGTGAACAGCTAACCCTGCACCAAACCATGTCAGAAAGACCCAAAGCTTTTCAGTGCTGCCAGAGGCATTTTTGCTGCTTCCTTCCAGCCCACATCTGGTTGAAGAAGCTGCAGGACAGCTGCACTTTGCCCCACCCAAGGGGGATGCTCATGGTCCTCATGTCCTGCTCTCAGAGCTGTTCCCTGGACAAAGGCTCTTCCTCCAAAAGGATGGTCCAGCTTGCAATAAATACGATTAAAGCCTCTACTGCCTGTATTACCTTGGATTATGTTTCCAAAACACAAAACACCCCTCGATCCACTGACCTTGCAGACCAGCATCTTTTGTTTGCATCTCTCAGCCTTTGCTCAGACCTGGGATTGGTGACTCAGCATGGTAATGGTTGGCCTTGACAATCCTGCCCATAATAAAAACAACAGTGAAACCAGCCAAACCCAAACCCCCCCTGCTCTCAGGTGGTCCCTTTCTCTGGCACAACTCCTGAACCACTGGAGAGGCAGGTTTTACCCACTGTCTCAGGCAAATGCGACTTCCCTGAGGAATCTGGAGCCGGCCTGTGTCAAAAATTGCTCCAGTTTTCAAGTCAAAAGGCTGATAGCACACAATAAATCGCTGGCCAGGCTCCAGGATGATAACCTTGTCAATGCACAACTGAGCAAACGAATAAAAGGTGTGGGTGTGGATGCAGGAAGGCAAATCCCTCCTGACTCATATGATGAGATGTTGACCAAAGGGTGGCTGCTCTTCGATTATCACCTGAGTAACAGATCAGGGACCGGGGCAGATGGTTCACAAGGAGGTTCCTAAGAAACCTGAGCACCTTGACAGTCTTCAAAGTCAGCAGAGAGAGGTTACAGCTTCACCACTGGAGGGTCAATCAGTGCAGCCCTTTTTCTAAGGACTCGCTTCCATTCTACTTTATGTCACTGATAAAGCACTTTAGTGCCCTCCCAGCGAAATGTGTGGAGGTCTTTGCCCCCATTCTCCTTTAAATTTGTGGGGATTTGAGACAGTATATTAAAAAAAAATAAATTAAAGAACACTATGAGCTGTTGAATTAGTATTGCAAGTTACAAACAGCCCTCCTGAGCTGTGTATGGAAAGTGGAAGGTCCCCAAGCTGTTTAATGAGATGTCAGCGTAACACTTTGAAGAAGCATCTGGAAGAGCTTTGCAATGCAGGTCAGAAGATATGTACAAGTGTACCTCTTCAGTTTCTGGGCAGGGAAATGAGAGGGATTACCTGCAGGGAAGTCTGTTGTGAAGAGAAGGAGACATTACATGTAGGACTACAGGTACTGATTTATTTAAAAGCGAAACCAGGACGATATTGTAACAGAGAAAAGCTGCTTGAAAGAGTTGGTTAGGTGATGGGTTAACTCAGGGCTGCCTCCAGAAATTTATGAAGCAAGGAAAGATTCCAGGCTGAGCTGGTGCAAAGGATCCTGAACTGATAAACACTGCCCTGTTGCAGGAAAGCCTGGCACAAGCTGCAGCTCCAGCAGCTACGGGAGCTGGAAAAGCACTGCCAACCCAGCACTACAGGCTGAATCCTGAATCCAGTAGGAATTCTGAATCCTGAAGGCAGGTCTTTGTACCTGAAACACCTTCAGCTCCCAGTCAAGCAGGCACGAGTCAGTGCCAAGTACTCTTGGAAATCTCAGCCTCAGTGTGTCACTTATGTTTACCTTTGCCTTAGAGCTGACAGCGAGCAAGAGCAGTCAGGGGGTTCCTCTTTCCTATGAGATCCCAAAGTTTCTGCATGTGTGAGGTCACCAAGTTCCTCCAGCACACACTGGGAAAGGGGGTGCAGCCATCCAAAGGGCAGGATCTTGCTGAATTGCATGGACTATAGTTTCTCTCTCGCTGTGAGAGCTCACGGGAAGTCAGGCAGGGTCCTGGAAACACGAGGGCTGCGGGACTGGCAAACCTGGCAAAGTGACTACCCTTGCATGTAAGCCTGAAAAATCCTGACAGAGCAGCGTGGCCACTGCAGAGGTTGTTCAAAACTGAGTGGAGCAGGGGGAGGAAGCTTCACATACCTCTTAGCCACGTTTCATTTGATGTCAAATTGGTTGTTTAGTTTTTCCCCTGCAAGAGACTCCACCTCCTTTCAAAGTCCCCTTAAAACCTGTTGAGATTTTATCCCAGTGCAGCTCCTGCTTTGTGCTGAATAGTTACACAGGGAAAGAACAGAAAAAAAAAAAAAAAAGTCCCCAGTCCCACTTGCAGGGGATTCAGACACCTGGTGCTTTAGAAAACTGCTGCCCTGACAAAGAATTTCTGCTTGGATTGAAGTGTTTTCTTGTCCCTAAAAGTAATCTAAAGGAAGACATTGCTTGCTACTGGCCTGGAAAACACCTTGCTTCCCCCATTTTTTTTTCTTCCTGTTTTAGAGGAAAAGGAAACTTGAAGAAAGGAGTTTTTCTTTAGTTTTTGCTCTTCAAGCATAGGTTAAAATGCCAGGGAAGGAGGAGGAGGCCCTTGGCATCGCTCATCTCTTCCTGGAACTGCATTGCATCACTTGGAAAACAGGACGAGACGACATGAGACAGCTCATCCTGATATCTTTTTAAATGCAGGGAAATTCATACCACCAGCATCTACTGCAAGGAAATGAGCAGATGCCAAATTTTCTTTTACACTTACAAGAAGTGAAAAGCCATGGGCGTGTTTCCCGTTTTTAACGCGAGCAACGTTTCGCAGGCCGGCTCCTTCGAGGACAGCCACAACTGGACGGCAGCCACCCAGTTCACCCAGCCAGGATGGAGAATTGCTCTGTGGGCCATCACCTACTCCTTCATCGTTATCACATCCATCGTTGGCAACACCACCATCATCTGGATCATCCTGGCACACAGGAGAATGAGGACCGCCACCAATTACTTCATCGTTAACTTGGCCCTTTCGGACCTGCTGATGTCCGCTTTCAACACCATCTTCAATTTTATCTATGCCAGTCACAATGTCTGGTATTTCGGAGAGGAATTCTGCAGGTTTCAGAACTGGTTCCCCATCACTGCAGTGTTTGTGAGCATTTACTCCATGACAGCCGTGGCTGCAGAGAGGTAAGAGGCGAATGGAGAAGATGAGGGCTGATAGATTCCCTGTAAGTCACAAAAAAATCATGGCAGTAGTTCGTGCAATTGGGCCCCCATTCTGTCAGCTGCCTTATCAGCGAAGTGGAAGGAGTGCCAGATTGTGGGGTTTGATACTGATTATGGCGTGATCTTCTGGGGTTTTTTTAATCCCTGGTCTGAATCACACACAAATCTGTAACGAGTGGAAGTGGCTGGTATTTTGTTGTTCCCACATTATTGATCATAAATTGTTTCTCAATCTTCCTGAAAACTCTTTTGTGGCTTTGTCAGGTTTTTTTAAACCTTGAGATGGATATATATGGAAAAAGGAGAATATGCTGGAGGCTGCTGAAACTATCAGCAACCCTAATCCTGCTGTGCTTCCAGCAAACCACCAGAAATAATGTGAATTAGATTAGAAATGGCAGAGTCTGCTCCCCTGGTTCACTAGAACAATTTATTCTGAGAGGGAGGGAAGTAATGACAGTGATTCTGTTTGACTTCTGGGGCAATTTGGTATTTTCATAAAATTCACTTCTAACTGCCAAATCACTTTGACTTAAGCTTTAATTTCTGGAGTCTGTCTGTGTTTGCAGCTCATTGTTAAATAGCATGAAGCTGTTTTCCTTTTTACTAGAAAGTGGCTAAAAAGCTGTGGGAATTTCCTCTCTTGAAGGCAATGCTGTGTGCAAGAAGCAGAGGAGGTTATTTCCCTTTAGGCTCTCTCCCTCCTTCCTTCCATCCTTCCTGTCTTCCCTTTCCCTGCTGCAGCCTCATGCTGAAGGACTTCCCTGGGGCAGCCTGACCTGGTGTCCTGCACTCCTTTATCAAAGCCCTGCTGTTGACTTTGCAGTTTCCTTCAGGTTTCCTGTGCTCCTTGTCAAGGCTTGTTGGTAACTGCTATTTTATACACCTTGTCTGACAAAGAATATTTTTTAAAAGCTGTTTCAGCCTGTTGTCATGTCTTCCTACTCTTGTTCCCCGGGGTTTTTTGGTGAAAGCACCTATATAGCCAAAACCTCTTTAGTCACATGGCACAGATCAGAAAGAAAACTTGGCACCTCACTGCAAACCATATTTAGCTATTCTTTGCTTAGCCTTAAAATAGATCCTGACACGGTCTCCTGGAAACTCAACGCTTCCATTTATTGTTAAGAGAACTCGTGTCCCCTCCAGCTCCAATGTTTACCTTCGATAAAAACAACATCTTCTGAAGTGGTTTATTTTAAGGAAGGAGGCTAAGAAGTGACAGCTCCAAGTAGTTTTTCTCTGCCATGGAGAAGTCCCTGGTGATATTGCTCACGGTTGGGTTTAGGATCACTCAGTTTCCCCATCAGCAGAGCAGCTGTTCCCACTGCAGCACTCGAGGCAGAAATGCAGTCTTATCGATCAGCTCTGGTTTCACACTCCGGTTAGCACTGTCTCCTATGACCTGTTTGGAAATGTACAAGAGGACCCAAAATTCAGCATGTTTTGTCTACATGTCTGAGGACCAGAGAAAGAGGGCTGAGACTGTAGTCCCAGCATCCTGGGATGCCACTGGAGAGAGAGCACGAGCAGCCAGGGGGGCAAAGGCTGTGCTGCCACATAGCAAGAGAGGCCAGGAGATCTCAGCAGGTTTGATAAATCTCCCAACTTGCAGGAACTCGCCTAAAATCGCAGCTTGCCTCGGGGGTGCACGGCTGGCACAGTGGGAAAGCCTCCACCCAGCCCTGTGACACCTTTGATGGCTGCAGTGACAGCACAGTGGCTGGCATCATTTATTCCCAGGACTTGCCATTCACTGAGGGCCACAGATCATCGTTTCAGGCACTTCTCTGAATATCCACTGGTGGATTCCTCCCTGAGCACTGTGTAACACTGCCTATGGCAAGCTAAAGAGAGGTGACATGAAAATTTTATAGCTAAATAAGGCCCTGCTGCTGTACAGCCCTGGATTGCTCACTGTCCTGCAGCAGCAGCTGGGCAGAGCTCCCTACCAACAGCCTGGCCAACAGACAGCACAATTTGTCAGATTTTTGCTATGAAAACTAGGAGGCAATGGGCATTTTCCACTCTGTTTTGCCTTTGTAACAACCATGACAAAGAATAGGGAAAGCATGACACAAAATGAATAATTGATTATGTACTCGTTACAACACCGTGCATTTCCACACAGGCAACTTAAAACCAGAGAGCGCCTCTGGCTCATGAGTAATCCAAGAGTCAGATGTGCCATGAGGGCTCTGAGCAGGTGTGGGATGAAAGGGTCAGCCCTTCCCTCTGCTGCAAGCACGAGTGCTCAGGCAGTCACAGACAGGGGCAGACAGCACCAGTTTCCCACAGCTAAAAATCAGTGTGGAAAATATCAGGGTAAAGGATACTCCAGACCCCAGCCTGCTTTTGTGCTAATATGAAGCATCAGAGATTGACATAATTAGAAGGAAAAAGCATGCTTATCTGGGCTTTTTTTTGGTAAGGCACTTGCAAAAGTAACATTAAAAAAAAAAAAAGAAGAGTGAGAATACTTTTTGGAAGGGCCTGAAGTGGCAGGGCAAGGGGGAATGGCTTCACACTGATGGAGTGCAGGGTTAGATGGGATTCTGGGAAGAAATTCTGCCCCTGTGAGGGTGGTGAGGCCCTGGCACAGGGTGCCCAGACCAGCTGTGGCTGCCCCATCCCTGGAAGTGTCCAAGGCCAGGTTGGATGGAGCTTGGAGCAGCCTGGGACAGTGGAAGGTGTCCCTGCCCATGGCCGGGGACTGGAATTAGGTAATTTTTAAAACACCTTTCAACCAAATTCTGGGATTCTATGAGAAATTCCATAAGGGCAATGCTTGCAAAGACCACGTGCAGAAGACATAAAGGACTGCTTCCTCCTCACACCAGAAGCATCCATGCATGTGGATTAATAAATCCTGCCCTAAGACTTGCAATCATTCTATTCAGAAAGGATTTAGTGCCTTATTATTTACGACCTGGAACCTGTCAAAATATTAATATAATTAATTATATAATATAATTGTATTAATACAATTATTAGATATAATATTTAATCTAATATATAATCTAACATATATAAAAGATATATATATATTATAAAGCTCACTATGCTGTCCTGGTGAGTTTTACACTTGCTGCGTTTGTTGTATGGATTTCAATCTAATCTGTTGTATAAATTTCAATTCACGATTTCACTGTAAAAGCACTACCTGTTTCTTGCAGGTACGTGGCCATAATTCACCCCTTCAAGCCCAGGCTGTCTGCTGGAAGCACCAGAGTCATCATTGGGATAATCTGGCTGGTGGCATTCGGGCTCGCCTTCCCGCAGTGCTTCTACGCCGAGATCACGATGGACAACGGAGCCATGAAATGCATTGTGGTCTGGCCCGATGATGTTGGATCCAAGCACCAGCTGACGTAAGAGACACGATGAAACTCCCAATTCAGGCAAAACTTAACCAGGGAAATCATTTCATCTCCCAGCTGCTGACTATGGAGAGTGCTGGGAAAGAGAGCAGGAGAATGTGGGGCTGGGGCAGCCCATCTAAATTCAGTTAACTGTGGAAAAACCTGCCAGGTGGTCATGGTTCAGGTTAATCCTGAACCTGCCATCCTCCCCTGCTTTGAAAAGTGGTTATAATGTCTAGAAACCCTACACACAGGGCTTGGGGAATTTAAGAGAAAGCAGTGTAAAAAGTCTCTAAACAATCAATAAATCCTGGTTTCAAAGATTCTGGATTTTCTTCCTCCACCAGGCAGGAGGAAACTGGGTATCTTTAATGCTGAGAAGCCACATAATAAGTTACAAATTATGCTGCTCTTTGCAGGGGTAGAAGGAATATAAAAGCCAAGAGCAGCATGTTTCAAACATCCTAAGGTTTTATAGCGTATTTATCTGGGCACACATCTGCTCTCCCGAAAGTCCCTGAGCCTCAGAGCGATTTCCTCCTGCTTGAAAGCAAGATTGTTCCAACAGATGAAACAGGCTGTACCCTGCATTCAGGGGATCTGCTGTGGTTGCTCATCATTCAAAGCACATTTCAGAAATTTACCAAGCAGAACATATTTATACCAAGTAGCAATGGAAGAACTGAGGAAAAGGAACGAATCCATTAACAAATCACAAATAATTTTTCAAACCAAAACCCACTGTGATGGCTTTTGCCCTGCTCCATGCACGTGGGACATTTTCCCTGTTCAGTTTTCATCTCTGGCAGACAGCTGGATGCCTCCTCAATTTATTATTACCAAACCAACTGATTTTCACACTAACACGTGCCAGGTTCCACCACCTTCGTGTAACTCTGGCCAGGCTGCAGCACATTCAGGCAGTGGTTGCCAGTTGTTCCAAGAGTAAAATCATTCTCAAACCTCTCATGCTGGGTGAAATTCCTCCTGGGGGCTCCTTTTGGAACTTGCTGGGGAGCAAAGTGTGCCAGGCTCCCATTGATTGAGGAGGAGGGAGAACAGATAACCAGCAATACGTGAGTCACTGATGATTATTTCATTCAGATGAAAAATGTGAGGTTTATTTCTCCCACATCCATGGCGTGGAAAGGATTCAAATGAGTTCCTCAGCATGCTGACAAAATCCCTCTGAGCTGGAAAGGCTGGTCCTGAACGTGGCAAACAGCAGGGCAGATCCTTCCTGGGATCTCCAGCTGAAGAGCAGCAGCTCCTGACCACAATACCCCACTCACCAGCTCTCCCTCCTCAGACAGCCTCAGATCCACTGGTTTTGGTCTCTCTCTTAGAAAGCAAGTTGGAATCATTGCTCCCCAGAAATCATACTGAGTGATGGATTTGTTGGGACAGATGCCTGCAACATAGACCATGGAGAAAAAGCAATGTGCAGCCATTCATATACTAGTCCAAATAACAAGGAAGAGAAATACTAAGAAACCCAAAGAAAAACAAAAAAAACTGAGAACTGGGCTCCTGTGTTGACTGTGTGTCCTCTGAATCCTTTGCAGTTGAGTAAACCCATCTTTCAAGATTTCTAGACTTCAGAGCAAAGGAAAATCCTTTTCTGCAGGAAAGATGTGTATAATTATGACAGAAAGAAGTTAGAAAAAATACTACTAATAATTTTTAAAACCCCAAACAGGGCACTACAGACCACCAGCACCTGATAAATATTGAATGTTAAGGATATAGAAGTTTAACCAGAGTAAAGAGCCTTAACCACAGAGGTTAAGGAAACACAGAGGATATTTCTTCTAGTGACAGGTTAACTTTGCAGCAAAGTAGTAAAGCTATGAGGCAAAGTTTCTTTTTATGTGTGCTCAGACTCTGGCTCCCATCCTCCCTTCCTTCTCCCAGGATGGGAACCCTCAAAGGGCTCTGCTGCACTCCACACACAGTCTCAGACCTCCCAAAGAGGAACTCCTCTGAGCACAATGGTAAAAAGTAGAAGACAGGCAGGGACAAAGTCGCCATATCTCACAAATATAATATTTTTCTTTATGCAGCCACCCCAAGGAACAAACACCCATTTGAACAGCAAAGCTCTGATGTGAGGAGTAACCCCAGAGCCCTGTCAGACTGAGAAAGGCCATTTGTACCCACCCAGCCTTTTGGGGTCACTGCCAGCAACGTGTGCTGGAGCCCTCCTGCCCAATCTTACTTCTCACACTGTTTATGTTAACTTGACAGCTGCTGTGATGGAGAGAGCAGGTTGTTCCCTTCCCATAAATGGTGGTTGTTCAAACTAATCAGCCCCCAGCATGAGGGAACCAGCAGAAGTTTGTGGCATGGAAAAACAAGAAAGGGCTGAGGTTAAAATACAGCTAAGGGGATGCCAGTGCTTTCAGCTGGAGCAGTGACTGAGTGGCCTGTTGGTGGTACATTATAAAATAAATTAAAAATAAATAAATGTATAATAAATATATTATAATTACATAATATATTACACAATAGATTATATATTATAATATACATATTATCTATAATATATAACATATAATATACATAATAGATAATATCTATAATAGATCTATAATATATATAATATACATATTACATAATAAATAGAAATAAATAAATATAAATAATAAGTAAATAAATGAATAAAACCAGCCAGCTACACAAATACAGGCTACATCCCTTCCTCACTGTCTGCATCTTTGTGCACCCTGTTTGCAGCCAGATACCTTTTGCAGTCCCTGATCTGGCTCTTTTCCACCACTGCCACTACTACATTCATCAAGTTACTCTGTAATTTTTGGACTATTCCTTTCCCATACCTGTGATTTAAGGGTTTGTAGTTTAACCAGCATTTCTCTCTCTCCCCCAGCTGCAGTGGGATAGTAAAACCCAGTGCAGGTGGCCCTGGACTGCAACCCTCTGCTAAAAGATAAATGATGTTACTCTGTCTTGAAAGAGCAGAGAATCCAGCCCAAGAATCCCTCATCACACCATAAGAGAGATGAGATTTTGCTGTTTACAGAAGTCCCTGTAACAATAATTAGAGACAAAATTTCTTCTTTGTGGTTTCACTAATAGGAGCCAGCATGTGTATCCAAAAGAAAGTTTCTGGAGGAGCCCTCCAAGAGCCACACTGACTGAAAAACTGCTTGTTCTTCTCTTCCAGGTATCACATTGCTGTGATTGTGTTGATTTATTTACTGCCCTTGATGGTGATGTTTGTTGCATACAGCATTATAGGAGTTACCCTGTGGAGCAGCGCGGCTCCAGGCAACCACCTGAACAGAGTCCACTACGAACACCAAGTTAATGCCAAAAAAAAGGTCAGAAGTGAAACTTAAGTACAGTTACCCCCAGCATACCAGCCCTGCTGGCTCCAGCTCCAAAATGGAGCTTGTGCTTGATACAAAATCCTGTGGGATTGGGCTTGAAGGGTCAACAAAACATTTTGGGGTCTGGGGTAAAGGGCATCAGCCTGCAAGTTTAAAAAAAATGGTGACTGCATGCACCAGCCAGCCTTCAAGGAAGAAAGACTCACAGCAGCAGGCTGGCTGCCAGCAGCCCTTAGAGAGTAAAGCCTGGTGTCCAGAGAATCCACATGCTGCAGGATAAACCAGGGTAAAACTCTGGAGAGAGCAGAGCAGTCTGGGTGTGACAGCAACGACCTCGTTTCCCTGCTCATCTCCCTGGTGTAGCTGCAAGCAGATCCTCTGCAGAGTCCACTGGGTGCCCTGGGAAACATTTGCTTTAACCCCCACCCTGTTCCCATCACCAGGGCACTCCCTCCCTGCTCCAGTTCCCATCGCCAGGGCACTCCCTGCCTGTTCCCAGTTCTCATCACCAGGGCTGGTTTCTTTGCCATAGCAGTCCAGGTTTACATTCCACACACGGCATTTTGGGAGGGCAAACCAGCCCCAAAGTGAAACCAGCACTTCCCAGTGCCCCAGCAAACCCAATCACCCAGAGCCCAGGAGTCACCCCTTGGTTTTGTTTTCCTAGTTTGTGAAGACGATGGTGGTGGTGGTGATCATTTTTGCTGTCTGCTGGCTGCCCTATCACATATACTTCATCCTGGGGAGCTTCAAGGAAGACATTTACCAGCAGAAATACATTCAGCAGGTGTACCTCGCAGTCTTCCTCCTTGCCATGAGCTCGACAATGTACAACCCCATCATATACTGCTGCCTGAATCAGAGGTGAGTAGTGTGGACACGTGTGCTCAGAGAAAACTGAAATCTCAGCCTGGGAAAACATAAATCTCTGGAGGTGAGAACAGCTGTGATTTTCAGCTGCAGGCCAACTAGACAACTTACCCTGTGCCAATAGTGTGAGATGGGATATGGAGATATGGAGATCTTAACTCAGCCCTCAGTATTTTCTGTCTCTGGATAAAGCACAGGCAGCAGGCATAGGATCAGCACAGCCACATTTGCACACATTTCCATGTGCAGACCATCCTGTTTCCAAGGGAGGAGTCTGCAATCCCTGCATCGCCTCTGCTGAGCTAACGCTGGGCTGCCTCAGCCACCTGCTCTCCCCAGCACAGTCCTGGGCTCACCCCCATGGGTGGGAAGCAGGAGCAGCCCACGGGTGACCTGTGGAGGTCCCATCGGGACGTGTCACCACGAGGGAGCAGCTGGGGGAGCACAACCCCAGCATGCCAAGAGATGTCCCTGTTGCTCTGCGCTGGGAGGGCTGCACCGTGTGGAGCGCAGGGAGCTGCTCTTGCTGCCCGCGGGTCTCCGTGCCAAATCCTGCATCCATAACCCCCATCCCTCTTCAGCCTGGCTGTGTGGAGCTGCAAAGGCAAGAAATGGTTATCAGCACATTTCCTGTGCAGTTTCACCCAATGTTTAACTCCAGAGCGATGCTGCAAGGCTCGCTCCTTCCAGCGTTTCAGTGAGCTCACAGAATCGTTTTGCAGCCCATCCACCCAAGCTGTATCTAACATGAAACACACAAATGTGTCCTCCCCCCTCCTCTCCCAGAAAGCAGACGGCTTCCTAGCTTAATTATTCATAGTTGTTTTTAAAAAAAAGCTCCCAGTGGGTAAATACATATATTTTCCTCAGATGTTGTGTGTCTCACAAATGTGGTTACCAGCTACTACTGAGCGCATCAAACACCCTGCCCTTTCACTGAGTTTAAATGTTTACTTAAAATACAAGGAAATCTGATCATAAACTCCTAATACACCTCCCTCTGTGGTTTTATGCATTTAGCTTTTCACCTCATTCCTTTGATTTCAATAGAAGTATTTATTTCCGTAGTCATTCACAGGTAGAACCAAATCTCGAGTTTGCTCATTCTCTGAGCAATTAGGAAGATCACTTCACCCTTTAATTGCTCTTCTCACTTTTACAGGTTTCGTTCTGGCTTCAAGCTAGCCTTCCGGTGGTGTCCGTGCATAAAAGCAACAGAAAAAGACAAACTTAAACTTATGTCCCCATCTCTCTACCAGACAACCCACAGGAAGTCAAGAACAACAAGTTTCAACACAGAAACTCAGCTGAATGAGAAAGAGAAGACATCGTTTACCCTCACCCAATCACCACTTTCATTTCCTGCTTCTGGCTCCATCCCCATACACCATGCCAAGGCAGCAGATCTATAGAAGCCTCAGGCAGGTCTTTTTCTCTGGACAACTGTTTCCTACAGGACTTCTTTGGATGCCATCAGCATTAAAGGCAGTGTGTTGGTAACTTTTATATCCATGTAGGTCCAATTATCACCCAGCTACAGATACGAGTTAAGCCCTCCCTTACATCAACAGCTGCAATACAGAACAGACATCAGCCCCAGGAGGTCAAAAAAAATCAGCAGAGCAGATCTGAGGCAGCGCCAATCAGTAGAATATAAATTATTCTCTTCTACACTGTCATCTCCTGATTTCTGTTCCACCAAGACACTTAAATTCAGAAAAGAGGCGATGGAGTAGAAAGGCTGGGGCTCGAGTGGCCCAGCTGGGATGGACCCTTGTGTGGGCAGCCCCAAGGCAGATAACACCGTGGGGCAAAGCCTGTTTACAGCAAATACTAACACATCCAGACTGAAAAATCCAGCCTGCCCTCAGAATTTTCTGAATCCTGGGATTGTCACACCTGTGATTTCACCGGCAGAAACAGTCCCTGAAGATGCTGTCTTCGCATGGATTTCTATAACCTTGTCCCAGAATATGATGTTGTTTTCCTATTAAACTGTGCTCAAGTGATTCCTCCTTCCCGTGGGTTGTGGTGCCTAATTTGGAGAGCAAGGCTCCCAGAAGGCTGTCAGTCAGGAACCAGGGATGCCCACTGGCTTGTTCAGGGCTCATGGATCCAACCAGAATCCACCTGCCTTACATCCTTTTAGTCCTAACAGCAGTGGCCCACCCCTGTCTTTTCCCAGACAGTCCCTTCACCTTCCCTTTCCAGACTTACCCCATATTTATCCTCACTGCTCTTCCCAGATATGAAAATAAAGGCTGAAATATGTCATCTTCCCAGCCTGAGGCATTATGTGCAGGCACACAAAACAGGAGAAGCTGAAATATAAACATTATGTAAAAGTAATACAGCATTTAATAGTGGTGTGATAATTAGCACCTCACAATCACCTTCACCTCTCATGGCAGGTTTGTAAATAATATCACGGAGCCTTACCTTACCAATTAAAAAGCCCCTGTAATGTTCACAAGATCCAGTTATTTGAAATATTCTCCTTTGCTCTGTGAAAGCCAAACTACAAAGTGCTGCCAGGCTTAAATTCTGCTGTAAATCCAGAGAAATCCAGGCTTGAACTGAGAGTACTCAGGGATACGACTCTCCCAAGCCTGTCTCAATACAGGAGCGGGATATATGTTCCTTCTCCACCTCTCCACCTCCCTGGCTCTGTGGAGAACAATTATGTTATGCAACTCCTCCCACTATTGGGACAAGAGAGCCCAGTCTGAGAAAGCTCACAATTTTAAATCACTCCAGCAGATAGTTTCTAGTCCAGATGTTCCCTGGCCAGCCCTCTTCCCCAGGCCAGCCTGTTCTCCCCACAGCTGCAACTGCTGGGCAGAGGCATTTGCAGACAGCCACCACCAAGTCATTCTGCCAAAGGGCCTGAGAACCATCTGGGAGGGATGCTCTGCCAGGCACACATCGCTGGGACAAGGATAGACATGGCACAGACCCCTGCTCTGAGGAACTGAAGGACACCTGCCCACAGAGCTCAGTATCTGGAAAAAGTGAGCTGTACTCCCCCTGCCCAGCTGGTGTGAGTCTAAGGCCTTTAAACTCTGCAGCTTTGTAATGCAGAGCTCTTTAGACCAAACAGGCCTATCTTGAGCATCCCACCTTCCCCCTCTTCCATCACACCTGAACAGCCAGCCAGGGCCTATTCCAGATGTCCCAGTGTCACACACATGCTGCCAGTGCATCCCCCTGTGCAGTCCCTGACTGGCAACAATGTTTTCTGACAGCTCAAGGCATCTCCTTCTCTTGTTGGGAGCAGAAAGCAGAGGATCATTTCTTCACCATCAGCAATTCCCTGTGTCCTGGTGGACTCACAGCACAGATTCATCCCATAGACACAGCAATAGTTAAGGCTGCCCAAGGCAGGCTACTTGATTCCTGTGATACATGAGGAACACCAAGTACATGCAATTCTTCATATGAATATAGACAGCATTAAATACCACACAGCAGTAAAGACATCCAGGTCAGCAGTAAATCCCTCCCCTGCATGTTTACTTGTGCTCTAAGTAGCAAAGCAGTCCCTGCAGTCAGTGAAGAAAAACACTTGAAGAATCTCATTTTTACGGCAAAGGAACGAACAAAAAGCACGGAACGGGGTTCAGAAGTTCAGAAACACTTTATTTTGCCTTCTGCTATTTTCTTAAGAAAACAAAACAAAACAAGGTCTGCTTGTTTTAAAACCCATTCAAAAGGCTTCTGAGAGAACCCCAGAGAAGTAAGAAGCAGATGACATTACAACAGTGGTATGTAAATGGTCTTTTCCCCAGGAAATAAAAGATTTTTGTGTTCATATTGCATTAATTACAGCTTAACAGTTAAGAGGACTGTGATCTTATTCACCAAGCCTAAAAGCTTTAAGAAAGACATCTCAGTCATTGCTTGGGTAACATTGGAGACATTTCTTCAGACAGTTATAGCTTGTGATTGACTTGGAACAGTTTCCTAGGGGTAAGAAGTAGTCTGGAAACGAAAATCCCACCATGTCTCCCTTTGGAAAAGAACTGCCGTGTCTTATCGTGTACATCAACTACGGTCCACGGTAGGAAAAGTTAGAAACGCAAACTCACTCCCTATCTGTTATGAGCTGAATCCAATAAACAAAACAACCTATGCCAGCATCTCCAAAATTCACAGTCACCCTGAGACCAAGTTTAACTTCCACTCCTCGTTCACCCTCTATCCTGCACTGAGCCTGGCCCTCAGAGCTCCAAGCCCAGGTCCCCAGGCACGGCTCACACCACCCCTACAGCACTGCCGGCGGCAGGCACAAGATTTGCAAACCTTCAAGCAATTCAAATGCAACGTGTCCCCTGTGCCCAAAAAGTTTCTCACCTTCTTCTGTCTCCTGTTTGGGGTCATAGCTGCACATCAAGGCTGTCAGAGACTATTCAAGCTGCAACGTAAAATGGGTTATTGCAGAAGCACAGCTTTAGTGTAGGCAAAAGGGGCTTTTTCATCTACCACAACTCCAGCACAGGCTGTGCCAAGCCGGTGGTGCAGGAGCACCGGACTCTGCAGACCCTAGGCACGCAGGACATGTGGTATCCATCACAAGCCTAAAGCAACCACACCTCGGCCTCGGTGCAGCCCCCGAGGCTCTCCTGCAGCGCAGATCCCCCTGCACAAGGCAGGGCACGGCGTGCACCCTGACAAAACACACGGCCCCTAAGATTTGGGCGCCGTCAGCGCTGTGCCTCTGCTGAACTACATTAGGAAACACGAGGCACGGGGACCTGTGTGAATCTGACCCCGAATGCCCGGGAATAAAAACACACACACACAAAACACAGGCACCACTGGGATTAGGTTGCAGCTCTCCCTGCACAATAGCTCTTCCCAAAGCACTAAGCCAACAGCCAACAGCACCTCTTCCAGAAAGAACCACTAAACACCAGTTAACGCACATCAAAAAAGTTTAATATTTTCACAAGTATCACGTAACACTAGTACCGGAGCTACTAGTGTGCAAAGTAAAAAGACCCTCTACCTTTGCAAAACCAGTTAGGCATGCAATTTTTCAGGTAGACACACACTTAAAGCTGCAATGACTGTTTGTGACTTACAGGTTACTTTACAACATTCACTCACAGTGCACCATAATGCATATTGAAATGTTATCGATAGGTAGGGCAATCCAAATCTTAGGGAGTGGAACGAGAACAGAGAAGAGTAGCCTGCAAATTCCCATCTACTTTCTGCAGGAAAAGGCAGCAGGGAAAACCATGCGGACATCTCAAATTCATTTTTGGTAGAAGAGTGGGAATTAAGGACTACTGTGTGGTCTCCCTCTTTGCAGAAAGTGGTGTGACTTACAAATGTTACTCGACATGTACCTTCCTAACTGCTTCTCAAAGTTAAGTGATGCAACTGGGATGCAAATATAATAATGGCATCGACTGGACAGAGGACAGGGTACACCACGTGTAAATGATCTGCTGTTGCTTTCGTCCTTGGAATACGCCTCACCCAATTTTGGCTCTGGGGGTTGTTTACACACCCAGGTCCTCAAAGGCAAGGTTCAAAACGTAACCCTCCTCTTCCTTTCTGCGCACTAACTCTGGCCGAGTGTTTGTGTTCTGAGTGACTGCTGAACAGCACTAAAGATTAAAGCTCTGTGGGGAAGCAAATACCCATTTAAGGCGAGAGACGGAAGTAGGCGCATCCAGGGGATGCGGCTGAGCCGCGGGTTTGGTGGAAGGGCAGCTGCAGTGCCCTGACCCAGACTAACAAGAAGAGAGAGGAACTACTTTCTGTAAGAACCCTTAGACAGAAGAATACAGCACAGCCGTGTGGGGACCACGGATCTACCGATTTCGCAGGTCTGGAGATTTGGATTACCCCAGTCACCAGCCGCTTGGCTTTACTCTTTAGGGATTTCTCGCCAAAACGTGACAGATTTCGCCCAGTAACACAACACTACTCACAGAAGCGATGGGGAGTACCAGTGGAACCAGATCTGTGGGACAAGGGTGTTTACTTTCACCATGACAAGAGGTATCAAGGAAGCGAGTAAGTCGCGGTGTCAAGTCCCACTATAGAGTTACGTGCGTGCACAGTGCTGACACACCGGAACGTTTTCACAACCGCTTTAGACGAAACAACAGCAGGTAGATAATGCAGGAGGGAACTGTTGCTTCCCCTTCACTTAAAAGCATCAACACCCAGGTCTGGTGGTCAGCGTGCTGGCAGTGCGCTTAACAGGGATGCTGCAAGAACACGTTTGGTACGATGCAATGGGAGCTCTCAACGCACATCACCTGGGGGCAATTTCGTCTCAGACAACATCTGGTTTTTGACAACTGCAGAAATTATAGACTGGTTTTTTTCCATGACCTACAGATGGGGAAGGTACCGACAAGGTGAGTAAGAAACATGCAGATTGGGGTCCAGAAACAGGAGATATTGTTAACAGCACACATTCTATCTTGTATCCTATTTTTTTTTTTTTATGTCATTAGTTGTAATTTTTTTTTTCCCCCCAATAAAGCAGTGAGTTCTGGGTTTTTACCAGTTCTGACTATGCAGTCGCTGCTTTATGAGAAACACAAGACAGAATTGAGGCCAGGATTGTGGAGTTCAGTTCTGCTCAGCCTCACGAAGCCTGCATCCCACCGCTGTGATGAGCGCTGCCCCTTTCCCGCTGCCGTCCTCCGACAGCAGGAAGGTCACGTCGCAGTTGGGTGCCAGGTCTTTGACTGTTTGGTGCATGATCCTCGAAAAGCTGTGAAAGGAAACAAGGGCAGTGGGTGAGGAAGGTCCTGCAGCAACTGTGGGGTGGAGCACTGCCACGGGCATTTGCGCTGCGTCCCCTTTCGTCAGAGTAAGAAGTAAAATGCTGGAAACCAGGTTGGATTTGAAGCCTGGGAGCAGTAGGAGTTAAAGGATAAAAGCACTTGCATCCCAGCCCTGGCTGTCTGTGTGAGGTTAACTGGGATCACTGATCCACAGCAAAGAGAAAAGATCAGACCACTTAAGTCCTCTCCATCCCACCCATCTCCCTCCATGCACACCAGAGGTGGGCACTAGTTCTCTTCTCCTCCTGTCTCCACCTGCATTGCTCTGCAGCAGCTCCTCTGCTGGATACAGAACAGAAACATCCTCCAAAGAGGCACCAGGCATTTCAGCACTGCTCTGTCACTGCCTGTCCAGAGCCAAGAGATCCTTGCCTTGCCACACAGCTTCCAACTCACTCAGCAAGCTGTGACCCCTTCAGGTTGTCAGCACCCCAAGAATCTTTCACAAGTCATTCTTGATCCTCTCACTGCCCTTCAGAAAGCCCTGAGCCCCCTGATTAAGACTCTTTTTATTTTTTTTCCTGGCTCTTATCCCAGCAAGTGAGAGAGTCCAGTTGGAAGCATCAAGAGAAAGGAAGTACACACAACACAAACAACAAGAAGGCAAATACTCACTGTGGGTGGAGTTTGTAGAGAGTGCCATCCACACCAACCGTTATCTCCAGGCGCTCTAACCCTCTGTTCTCCCTAATTTTATCTACAATGGCAGCCATTCCAGCGCCACACAGCTGAGCTGCTCGCCTCGACACCGCCCCGCAGACCGTCTTGACGATGATACTGTCGTCGCAGGTGCTGTTGAGCCCCAGCTGCTGGAGGATGGTTCGCACCTGCAGCAAGGCTAACCTGTCACTGTGGGAGGAAAACACGGCGTTACAGGTTTCCCTCAGCCAGGCCATGAACCATGCTGCAATGGGAACGTAAATTCACTCACCCCTGCACCGTTCTGCAGTGCAGGAGAGGCGTGCAAGCAGCAACAGAGGCTCCAAGGCCAGCTCCACATTGACCCACCTTCTCTTCCTGAATGCCATGAGGCATTCCAGGAAAAATATTTGTAATGATGACCTTGGGGTATTTTTTTCCCCGTAAAGCCTCAGAGAAGCTTCAAAATACAGAGTCCGAGCAATAAAAGCACAAAAACATCCAGTAAGCAGTGCTCACTCAGCTAGTGTTCATTCAGTTCCACAACTGCAGCTAAACACACACAAGGGGCCCAGGAAAACGGCTTCATTTCCAAACAAGGAAATAAAATGTTAGAGTGAGGGAATCCTTGACAGCCCTTCCCAGGGTTTAGAAGTAAGCATTGCTAGAAATTCAGAGGATATTGTAAAAAATCCTCCTGCACAGGCACAGATTAAAACTCAAATTCTCTCCAGAGAAGCAAGCAATGCTCTCCAGCTGTCCCTCTTGGCCAGCAGTGTCACCAGACGAACACCACTACACTGTTTCACTCTAAGCAGCCTCCCCTGCAGTGCTCTTACCTCTCAATCTGAGAAAGGAACTTGGTTTCAAAGATATGTCTGGTCTTCAGTGTCTCTGAAATCTGGCCTCGGAACAGGAAACCCCGTTTGGTGAAGTCGATCAAAATATTGCGGACTATTTCCCCTAGGTACATCCCACTGATCATTTTCTCATACCTGCAAGGAAAGATAGTCCAGCTCAGAGGGAACCTGCCCATGTTTGCAAAGGCAGCATCACAGGTGTGTTATCAGCCTGTGTGTTACCCACACAGGGCTGCAGGTACCAGTGCTAAGCATCCCTCCTGGGACACTCCTTATCCCGTGCTAGACAGAGGTCTGCAGGTGGAAGGCATTTCCTCGCTCTAGCTTGAGGCAAGACTGCCAAGTGGGAAACTTGGGTCCTGTGTGCACAGCTGGGGACTGAAAGGGGTTCAAGACAGCTTGGTTCTCCCCTGGAGTTTTGGGACAACTGGTTTCCTGCTGGAATTATCTGAAGTTTCCTACTTGAATTAACTTGAATTAACTGAAGGGCATAAACCAGCCCTGGACCACCAGCGTGCCAACTTACAGGTCAATGGTCCTGTGAAGAGGCTGGACGTGGTTTTTCCCACCCTTTATCTTGCAGAGGGTTTGTTTTGAAGCACAGGACTCCCTTAAAACCACTGCATTTGTAGTGACTGTACCTTGTAGTTTCCCTGTAATTTTGCTGCACTGAGCCACTGAGCTTTTTCTGTTTGGAGCTCTCAGCTGTGTTTTGCACTCCCTCCCTTCCAGCATCATTCTGGTTTGAATGGAGCGTTTTGGGGTCTGTGAGTTGTGTCCTTACCAACAAGAACTGAACAGTTCCATTTCTTGAGAAGGGCATTCAGTGACACATCCTTTATTTCACCTCCTGAAGCTCTACAGCAGGGTTTGTGTGCCCTGGATCGAGCAGAGCCCAGCGCGCCATCCTGCTGGAAGCAGGCCACGCAGTCCATTTAATACCATGAACTCTCTCAAGCTTGTACCCAGCAAGAGTCCTCCTTCCTGAGTGCCTAACTATTTCTGGAATAAATTACTCCCCTGGCAGTCTCCACTACTGCCTTTGGCAGGTTACTCCATGCCATCTCTGCTGCTGCGTCAGGCTCGCTCACGTTGGCCCCTCTGGGTCTGTTTCAGCCTCAGCTTCTAAACAGCTTCCCAAAGGACTTGCCAACTTGTCTGTATTCCTCAGGTTTTTGTGGACAGATTTACTCTTGTCACAAACTCTTTTTAAAAGCTCCTGGCATCAAAGCACTGCTGCAAAGAAATGATGAAAAACTAGTCCTAGCAAGCAACAGTCTCAGCCCAGTTTCATCAGTGCTGGGTACACACCTCCTTGTCAACTTTTTCCTGCAGGGGACAGGGAAGCACTTGCCCAAACAAAAGCTGAGCCCCAAAAACAGGACCAAACTCTGGGAGCAAGGAAGGCAGGCCCTTTAACATGACCTACTCATCCAGAAAATTGTGTGAAATAAGAGCTGTCTCCAACTGCTAGAGAGCTCCTGACTGCTTTACAGTGAGTAGCTCCAAGCTTTAACCACACCAGCTGGTGTAAGCTCAGGATTTCCATAGGCACAGCTCTCCACAAAGAGAGTTTAGCTGAAAGAGATTAACCTGAGACCCAGAGAAAAAGAATGGCTAGCCATCTTATCCCCCTCAGTTCAGTACAGGATGACAAAAAGGGTCTCTCCATAATTTCAAGACTTTTGAAGCCCTCACCAAAAGCCCTGCTGTGGAGTCCCATGCCAGCAATTAAGTCACAAAAAAGCAATATCCAGGAAAAGCACAGAAAGGGGAGATCCCACAGGATAGCAGGACTGGAGTCATTTTCCACTCTTAACTGAGAAACCCAGCTCTCTTTTAAAAGCACTTAAGGCAGCCTGACATTTATATGCATAGCACACCATTTCTCCTGCAGTACCTTTGCTTTCCAGCATTCAGTGAGAAGTCATCCACTGCCTTGTCATATGTTGTCCTGATGTCGTCCAGGCACCCGTTGTCCCCGAACGCTCCCCACTCCGTGTTCACACACATCCGCCCTTGCTCACCATCCACCATTTCTATGTTTTTCATCTCCTCCATGTAGCAGGCATTGCTGCCCGTTCCTGAGAGAAACAGACACCCAAGTTACTCCTTGGTTGGAACAAAACAACACCAAAGCCAGCACCACGGCCCTGACAAACCTTCTGGGCGATACTGAATGTGATTTTTTCTGAAAGAAGTAGTTCAATCATTTGAAACATCATCCAAAAAACCCCCAAACCCTGACTCTTCAACAGTCCTAAACAGAAGGAGAACATTACTCCTGTGGAGCATTGCTCAGTGTGGCTCAGAGAAAGCTCACCCAGGACAGCTGGGCTGAGGCTCCCACACTGCAGGGAGCAAGAGCAGGGCAGCACTTTCAGCACACAAAACCTTACATGCTTCTGACCCCAAAACTCCAGGAAGCAGACAGCTGGGTTTTGCAGTTGGGAACCACCTTCCACAAAACCCATGGACCCACAGAATTCAGGGGAAAATGTGCTGAACTAAAAGCCTCAGGAAGTTTTTAGGCAGCAGGTGTTTCACCAGCTGATTGCTTGGGGAGGGTTTCTGATTTTAATTGCTTATGTTCTCCAGCAGGAAGGTTACTTCCATGTGGAGATGAGTCCATATCTGATATTTCTCAAAGAGGATCCTAAGCAGTGTGGCAAAGTGCTCCATATACACAGAGGTCTTTAGGGAGTAAAGCTTTATTAGCAAAGAGAGGCAGCTTTAGCTGCTACCAGGGCAAAAGTTCTCTTAAAGTTACTTAACAAACTCTCATTTAACCCTGCATCCCAGATTATGCACCAGTTGCTACAGCAGGTCTGTTTTCCTTTGCCATTTCTTTAGGGAATCATATCAATACAGTCTGAGCTAAAATAGATCCTCCCCCAGTACTCCCCTGCAGCAGGAGAGCTGAGCCACAGCACAGGGTTTGGCGAGGGGAACGTCTGGGTTTGCAGGCTGAGAGCCAGGTTTGCAGGACCAAACCAGATCAAATTCAACCTCCCTCAGGTGCCATCAGCCAGGCAATCCAGGCAGGGCAGAGGGAGCTGTCAGAGCCCTGGGGCTTTCATTCCACTTACCCCAGAGGTAGCCAGGCCACCTCTGACACCTTGCTCTGCACACAGACAGAGCAGCTGCACAGCAGATCTGGCAGGGCTGCAGTGGGGATGTTCTCCTCACCCCAAGGACACGCTGCCCTTCCTTTAGGCAATTCTGGCTCCTGAAAACACCACCAACAGAGCCGTGCAGACACGGCCTCCTACCCACACTGCACTGTGCTGACTCATCCTGGACATTTTCCAACTGTCTGGAGGAGAAATTGGTGGCGTTTTCTTTTCCCACAAGCCACCTCGCAACTGAGAGCGCTCCTAAAGCTCGCAGGTGCCTCGTCCCCCTCTCTCCCACAGAAAACTCATGTCCCTGGGGAGCTCTGGGAATTCACACTGCCCTGTGACTCAGGCTCCCCAAGCGTGGCATTTGCAAAGTCGCCTGTGGAATGACTTCAGCTGTCTCACTGCTGGGAAGGGAGCTGCGTGTCGCTGCACTCAATCTGCCAGAGCTCTCCACCACACGCCATTTGGGAATTGTGGCTGCGCTTTGCAACTCTGTTCTGAGAGACCTCAAGCTTGAGGAAAGCTGTGGGCCACCGGAACACCCCAGCAGGGAAGCTCTTACAGGATAAACTAATGGGAACTCCAGGAGTTGGTGAGGCTCTCTGAGCCCACATCTGCCCTCCTCCCAGGCAGCACTCTGCCTTTACCAGATAAAACAGGTAGGACTTAGTGTGCATCACAACTTCTGCTTATCTCAACTGACTGTGGACAGAACTAAGCTGGCTGTTGAATTTTGCTCTCTTTCATTCCTAGATATCTTAGCTTTATTTTCAGTTAACCACAGGGATGTCTCCAAGAGAATACAGACAGATGTGTGGACATGCTGTTTAATAAAAAGCAGCTCTAACACATACCCACAATGAGCCCAATTTCACAGTTTGGATCTTCATAAGCACAAGTCATCATTGTGCCCACTGTATCATTCACCACAGCCACCACATCCAAGTCAAATTCCTGTGGGGGAGAGAAAACAGCAGTGAGAATTCTGGGCTAGGGGCAAGTCCCTCACACCAAAGGGGATGCTGTAGAAACACACTGGAGACAAACAGCTGAAATCAACAGCCTGATTTCACACATGCAAAAACAGGAACCTGATCTACCAGCAGGCAGCTAAAGGTGTATGCTCTACCTATGACAGACCATCCTCAGAACGAGGTAAATCCCTGGCTGGTCTCCTCAGCTTAGGAATGTTTAAGGACCTATCATTTTATACAGGCACATGGTACAAACCTTCAGCATCACAGGAATTGTGCAGCAATTCCAGTAAAAAAGGTTTTAAGACTTCCTTTGGACTGGGTGATAAAAACTGTGCAAAATTAACACCCTTCTCAGGCTATTTTTCTTCCCTTCCTAGAAAGTTTTGGTTAAACTGGTTGAGGCTTTTCCAAGATCAAGAAGAAGAAAACTGTCTTAGAGTGAACTGAGGTACATTCCTACAGTCACCATTCTGAAAACTCCTTCTTTCTCCATGCATGTGGAAACTGACACAGAGTTTTAAAGAAGCCTTGAAAGTTCTGGCAAATTTGGAAGCCTCTGGGGAAAAACAATCTACTGTGCAAGACAGGAGGCACAGTCTGTGTCTACAAGGCACACAAATCCTGCAAGAGGGACCCAGCCAGACCCACAAGGTCTGTCAAGTCTGGAGAGGAGTAGAATGAGGAAAAAAATAAAAATCACCTCTCTTCTTTTAATTCCTTCTCTAAGTAAATATACCACATCTTCTCCCTCACAGTCTGTAGCTTTGAAGCCTTTTGTCCAATTGAGAAGGATACCCTATAAAGCAAGAAAATAGGTTATCAAGTTGCTAAAATTGGACTGAAATGTTATTCTGTGCACATAACATTTCAAATACTTTAGTGTGATGTTTTACAGAAGAGTCTCTGTGAAAATATCTCCTCAACATGTTGAATTTGCATCTAAAACAATTAATTATGATCGGGCTCTACATTTCCAGAGCAATGCAATAAAATTAAAAAAAAAAAAAAAGTGTGACAGGAACAACAAACTCAAAAACCCCAAAAAGTGTTATAGAAAAATATGCCTTTCTTAAAAGAAACCCCAGCTAAGTACACAGGAAACTATTAACAGCAGTAGAGGTTGGTGTAAGTATGTGGCAGTGAAGAAGTTAAACACACAAGTATAAAGAACACAAGTCCATTTGTCAGGGATGTGCTGCAGGCCACACTGTCACCCTCAGGGTGACACAGCCCACAGACTGGTGCAACCACTCCATCCAGTGAGACCAAGATCAGCTGGGAATAGGCACTGGCAGCAGGGATGGACTTTTGCTTACTGCTTGCAAAACCAGGGAAGTGTCACAGACCAGCAGGTTTACACAGTTGGAAAAAACACAATGCCTTAAAAAAGGGACGTGACCACCATGGAAAATTTAAATGCTCTTATCTGTCACAGCCACGGGCTGAGCAGCATTTGCATTACTACCCTTAAAGGAACTATTTATAGGAGCAGCTGTACTGGTCAGGGTCAGTGCATGAACCTTCCCCTCGTACGACCTTCCTGTACCTGTCACGTGGATGACACGAAGGCAGAGAAACCAGACCTGGCATATGCACAGAAGCAGATTCAAAAAATACTAAGGAACTTACAGCATCCAGGCTGGTCTGCTTGCAGGGGAAGGAAAAGGTGAAGCCAAGAGGAAGACGAGCGCCTTTTATCCCCATATAATCCAGGAAGTCAGAAATGCAGGTAACGATGTGATCAAACAGCTTTGAAGAGAAAAGTCATCATGTTTGAAGCTGTACGTGTTATCTGCTCTTAAGGAGTTATTTAAAAAGCAGCAGTGCAGCCAAACAGAAACACAAATACCTCTTCTCCTGTTCCCTGCATCACCTCTATGGGAATGGCATAGATCTTGTTGTGCATCTCAACTGTTCTCCTTTTACCGCTGCGGATTTTCACCAGCAAAACTCTAAAGTTTGTTCCTCCAAGGTCAAGTGCCAGAAAGTCTCCATTCTCTGCAAAAGAATATGTATGTTTATTTGAAGAAGCCTAAGTAAAATCTGAAGAAATGCTTCTCTTGAAATATTTTGATAGAAAATCTGCTTCTAGGGAAGATCATCATCAAAGGAGGATTTTAGATGCTACTCTGATTATTTTGTTTTACTTTACACCAACAAGGGAAAAAAGACCCACACAACTGTTCCCTGAGAGAAAGCCGACATTTGGCCAGCCACCCTGAAATGCAAAGTACCCGAGTAACGTCAACAGGCTTCGTGTGGGTTTGGATTTACAATCCCAGTTGTGGTTTTATGATCCCAGCTGTGATTTTCTCCCCTCAAGCTGTGACTTTGCTCACGCCCTGAGGCAAGGACACAGCACCAGGCTGCCAGCAACCAACACAGGCCAGCAGGGCCAGTGCTGAGATCTCCTCTTCACAGCTCAGGTTCCTCTTTGGTCACACCAGATCTGCTCAGCCTCACCAAACTGGGAGCCCGTTTTGGGCTGCAGCGAGGGCACACTCTACCTGTCCCATCCGGCGTACTGCGGACGAAGGTGGGCAGCATTTTCACTTTGGCCGTCTCGTGAGTCTTCTTCTTCAGCCCCGCTTCCATCTCTGCCCTCATCCTCTTCTTCACCTGCAGCAGCTGCTCGTGGGTGAGCTTGAACTCGGCCAGGGTCTCGTCGATGAGGCGGTGCTGCTCCGACAGCCGGTACGCCACAGCCGTCACCATGGCCGCCCCCTTCCCGCTGCCGCTCTCCGACAGCAGGAACCGCACCTCCGAGTCCGGCACCAGGCGCCGCGTGGTTTTGTGCAAGCGCCGAGCGTACCTGTGGGGAGGGGAGGCTGAGAGCCTGGCCTCTGCACTGCCCACACCCCAAAATCTGCATCCCCCCCAAAAATCTGCACTGCATCACCCCTCCAAAAATCTGCGCTGCATCGCCCCTAAAATCTGTGCTAAATCAACCCCAAAATCTGCACTTCATCACCCCCCAAAATCTGTGCTGAATCACCCCCAAAATCTGTGCTGAATCACACCCCCCAAAATCTGCACTGCATCCCCCTTCAAAATATGCACTCTATCCCCCCAAAATGTGCACTATATCCCCCCAAAACCTGCACTGCATCCCCACAAAATTGGCGCCGCATCAACCCCCCAAAATCTGCACTCATTGCCCCCAAAATCTGCACTGCATGCCCCCAAAATCTGTGCTGAATCACCCCCCAAAATCTGCACCGCCCTTCCCCCCAAAATCTGCACTGCATTGCCCCCAAATTCCACACTGCATCCCCCCTCAAAATCTGTACTGCATCACCCCCCCAAAATCTGTACTGCCATCCCCTAAAATTTGCACTGCATCACCCCCAAAATCTGTGCTGCATCCCCCCAAATCTGCGCTGCTGACACCAACCCAATGCAAGGGGAGTGGGCAAACTCACCATGCTCAAACTAGCTACAGCCTCCCAAGAAGGAAAACTGCCAGGGAAGAGCAGTTCTTCCCCACAGCCTCCTTCCCCCTGAATTTCTAAGCAAAGCCAGCAAAAAGCAGGGGAGAGCATCTGTCTCATCCCCTGATCCTGGATGGGAGAAACTCCCTGGCTGCAATTCTGCTCTGATTCCCTCTCCTGTGGTCCTCTCCCAAACTCACTGGTTTAGATGGTGTGGGAAACAGTTAAGAAACCAAAACTGTCCATGTTTATTATTTTAACAGTCTCCAGACCTTGTCCAATCTGGAAAAGCTAGTCAGAACAGCATCCTTGGGAACTTTTTTGTTTGCTGAAATTCTATGGTTTTTTTTAACAGAGGAAATTATCTTTTTCAACAAATAATGAGAAACTGAAAATGAAACATTAAGCACACTTCTCTTTTCAGAAGTTCCCCCAATAAACATAATTTTCTGATTTCTACATAAATCTATACAGCTGCTTGACTAAAAATGTAACTTTCAAGATGGGCAGAAAGAAGATAAAGCCAGTTTTTTAAAGGCCACAGAAATCTAAGCACTATTTTTTCCCTCCCCTGGTTTCCAAGCGTATCTTCAGAAAAGACTGGCAAAAATAGGGTTAGGCATGGACATTAAACTGGAAATGGAGATGAATTAATGCAGGTCTCCTCACAGCCCAACCCATGGGCACAAAGAAGTGTTTTGTACAAAGAAACTCTCCTTCCAAGAGGTTTCTTGGTGATACCTTAAGGCATCTACCCAGACCACCACAGTTTTCCCTGACATTGCACTATGCAGATACTCAGGGTTTTGGTTCTTTTCTTCACTCCAAAGACATCTCTCCTTTCCCCCAAGCCCCCCAGCTCCAGACCAAAACCCCCATGCCCATGCTTTGGGTTCATCATCTCCCAGCCTGCCCAGGTGATGTCTTGGGATGACACATTCACCATGCTCACCCCTTTGCAAACCAGAGCCCGTGGCAGGAGCAGAGGGACTCACTGTGGGTGCATCTTGTAGAGGGAGCCATCCACCCCCACGGTGGTCCGGAGCCGGCCCACGCCCTTGTTATCCCGCAGCTGGTTGAGGATGGCGCCCAGGGTGGAGGCCACCAGGTTGGCCGAGCGGAAGGACACGATGGTGCAGACGTGCTGGACAGCAATGCAGTCCTCGGGGGACGGCTCCACCCCCAGCCGGGTCAGGATTTCTTTGGCTTTGTTCAAACCTTCTTTGCTCCTGCAAAGCAAAAAAGGGGTTCTTAGCAGGCATGGACTGGACTGCAGAACTGAGGCACATCCAAACACGGATGTCCCTGCCTGGGGTTTGAGGAAATTAGAACATTTCTTAAGAGATCTGGACTAGAAAGCTCTGTGAGGCTTGAAATAAAACGTGCAGCCGCACTATGGGAAGGACCTGGAGGAATTAAAATGCTTTTTCATTACAATCATGATTCTCTCTCAGCCCCACAATTCAGCACAGGCCTGAGCACACACCTAATCCCACACTCACTCCCTCACATGTCTTGATAAATTAAGCCCAGTGCAAAAAACAAAACCCTGAGCAAAGGTTGCCTAAGCAATTTCATCCTAAAATTTAAATCCTAAAAGCCTCTTTTCAGGCTTTTACAACCCCACTGAATCTTTGCCTCTTGCATTGTTTTATCCTCATGAGCATCCAGCCTGAGAGCAAATCTTCTGGCAAAACTTCTCCTTGTCCAGCTCGGTCATTTCCCAGACAAAAATACAGGGGGTATACATCTTGTCATCCCTAACTCCATTTTTAAGGACTCTTGCACCTTGCTAGAAATTTGAAGCTGCACAGGGATCTGCCCCCTATAACCACTTTATAACCAAAATGTCTCTTCAGGAAGTAAGGTAGAAGGATTTCAGGGCAAATTTTTCCTCTTAATAACTGAATTTCTCAGTAATTGCATTCTTCTCACTGCTGTTCAACATTACCTTGGTCCACAATACAGACCTCTATGGTTAAGACAAATGAACACACACATTTTAATGGAAAGCTGTTCAGATAACATGGTCTGCAAGGACAGGAGTAAACTGTGGCAGGAGGTATTATAGAATGTTCCCTTGGTGTCATATGGCCATTTCAAAAAGAAAAAGCCCAATGACTGTGGTACAAACTATCCCATTGATGTGAATTTTAAAAACAGAGGGGGAAAGAGCCTCTAAGTACTGACCAAAGGGGTGATGACACTCTAAGAAACCAACTGGCACATAGCTCAGAGGTCACTGTGCAGCACCCAGCCCTGCCTACGAGACTGAATGCTCTGCCTTGTCACACTTATTTTCTTTCTGCCCAGCAATCCCAGGGATACAGCAAGGAGCAGCACAAGTATTTGCTAGGAGGCACTAAGCCAACTCACTCCCATGTTTAGCTGCACTCTGAGCAGTGAGAGAGGCACTACAGCTCGTACCCTGAAAGCTGCATGGACTGGCAGACTTTAGGGTTCCTCCCAACACAGAAGGAGAGAAAATTTTTGGGGAGGAGGGTATAGAATGTCTGCTGGAGGTCCCCACATGCCAGCTCTGCACAGGCAGCAGAGAACCACTAAAGCAGCAGGCTTCCCCACAAAGCAAGAAGAGCAGGAAAATTAACATTCAGAGTCACTGTGAAGCCCAAGGAGTGAAAAGGGATAGATTACTCACTTTTCAATGGCAGAAACATGCTTTGTCTCAAACTTCCCTTTGGTGAGAAGCTCAGGGGTGATTCTCCCTTCAAAGAGCAGCCCCTCCTTGGCCATCTTCACCAGGATAAGCCTTACCAGCTCCCCCATGTACAGCCCACTGACCATCTTCTCAAACCTGCAGGAGAGGACAGCAGTCACCCACGAATCCAGGAGCATCACTGGGAAGCAGAGCCCAGCTGTGCCACTGTAATGCCCAGCCCAGCCAGAGGTTTGCCTCACCAGAGGCAAAGCTTTACTGAACTGCAGAATTCCTGACACAAGTGGGAAACGGGGCACAGGACAGAAAACAGCAGAGCAAATGTCCCCAAATGACTGCCTGACTCACAGCTGCTTCCCAGGATTAAGGGATCCACGGTCAATCTCTCGATCGAACTCGGTCCTGATGTCTTCCAGCGAGCCGTCATCTCCGAAGGCCCCCCACTCGGTGTTGATGCACATCCTGCCCTCGTCCCCCTCCACCAGGTCGATGTGCCGCATCTCCTCCATGTAGCAGGCGTTGGTGCCGGTGCCTTGGGGGAAAGCACAGCAGAGGGTGCTGAGCAGGCCGGCCAGGCTGAGGCAGAGCAGCCCCGCGGCCGCGACGAGCATTACCAATGATCAAGCCGACTTCGCAGCGCTGGTCGTCGAAGCCACAGGTCATCATGGTCCCCACGGTGTCGTTGACCACGGCCATGATATCTGCATCGTAGTCCTGGGGAGCAGCAAATCGTTACCTGGGAAAATGCTGGGCCTCACCAGCCTTGCTTTCAGCAAAGAGTTTCATGAGGAACAGGAGGCAAATAATCTGTCTGAATACTAACAGCTCATCTTTTAAAATACTTCCCTGTTCCGTCTGCCAGTTCCTCATCCCACGTACCCAAGAAGGCAGAGCAGACTAATGCAAGCAATGAAACAGCACTAGGAGCACTCTAGAGAGCACAGGCCTGCTCTCACATAAGCACACTTAGGCAGGAAAGGAAAGGGCTGAAATGTCATGGAATGATTTTGAAGCGGCTGCTTGAGGACTCAACCTGGAAAATATTTCTTGTAGATTCATTCAAATCATCAGTGTGTTTTATTTCAAGAGAAGATTTTAATACAAAAATAATGCAATTTGATAAATGAAATGCAGCCATTCCTTTTTCCAGGCTCTTCAGTGTGTGATTCTGCCAAGACTAATGACAGTACCTGACTCCAGTAATGCTGTTTGGTGATGGCAAAATTCAGGTTTGCTGGAGTCCGCAACCACCCAAAGAAAGCAAATACTTCACAGTTTCCAGTGAATTTTTGGATGCTGAGTAATCAACATATGACCTGGCTGCAAGCATTATGCAAAACCAAATTAATTCCCTCTCATGCTCAGTGCCTTTTTATTTGTTTAAATCAGCAACCTGGTCACCTTCGCTCTCTATAAAGTCAACACTGAGAAACTGCAGGGAGCAGCAGCTTGCTGAGCCTGAAATCCCCTTCTCTTCTACTCAGCTCCTCTCCTGCTCCCACGCACAGCAGGTGCACAACTGAGCTGAGTCCAGTCCATGAGAAACAAGTTTCTCAGGAATGGGACGCGTTGGTATCACTGAAAAGCCACAGCACTGCCACACAGCACTTCTTCAGTTTCTGAAGAGTGATAAAATCACTGAAGGTTGCCAGCGAAAAGCCACGACACAGCAACTCAGTTCTGTGCTGTGAGGAAAATCACAGCTTCCACACAACAGCTCTGGCGCCGCTTCATTTTTCCAGCAAACCCACGCATTTTCATGCAAGAAAGCAGAGCTCCACCACCACTCAGACCACCTGCTCAAGTGAGTGACATGAAGAGCGGTCCCTGACAAAGCTGAGACACAGCTACAAAGGAAAAAGAAGTGCAATTTACCCCACGTTTCTTGATGGCCTTGTTAAGCAGCCTCACGACATCTGCTCCCTCCACTCCGCTCGCTTTGAAGCGCTTCGTCCAGGTTATCAGAATACCCTGATAAATAAAACAAGACAGCAACATTCAACAGGATGAAACCATAAGACACACACTGAATTGTTTTAATTTTTTTTTACCTTGTTTTTAAAAACAGGATTTTGTATTTCAAATGAACCTTCAGGTCTTTTTTTCTCACATGACCTCTAACAACCCAACCTGAGACAACTGGCAGTCTTAAATTCTAATTACAGTAAGCTGAAAGATGGAATATTCTTTTCCCCTCCCTTGCTAGAAAATGGTGTGTTTGCATTTTGTATTTTCAGCCTACTCTTCTCCCTGCTACTCCTCGACAGTTTTTCTTGGAAAACCATTTAATCCTTTTGGGCCATGGAAATAGGCTGCTTTCAGAAACAGCTGACTGTACAGGGCTGAGTACAGAGCAGGGACATGATGTTGGCATGTCCAGGATTCAGCTGCAGTGGGGATCGGGCTGCTGCACATTTACTGCCTGGAGTCCCATCTGTCTGGGCTTGTTTAACTGTGGGATGGTTTTTATGGGTTGAGGCAAATGACAATACTGGGGATGGAACAGTACACGTCCCTATTTTACAGCACAGATCAAAAAGGAAATCCTGGTATTGAATTCCTTGTCTGCAAACCATCATGAAGAGCCTGCAAGTCCCCCAAGGTAATGACTACACTGATCTTTTGCTATTTACATAATGCCTGGCTGAATCAGAGCATTCAGTGTACAGGTAAATAATAATAAAAGAAAGAAAAGAGCATTGACAGTAATCAACTGACAGAAAGACAACTCAAACCAGCTCAGCTTTCCATACCCACCACAATATTCACATCTGTCATAACAGGAGTCCAAGAAGCTAAAAAACAGAAAAGCTGAAGCCTGTAGGCACAAGCAGGCAATGCCCAGGTGTACGTTTGCCCATATCTCAGCTTAAAAATCAAATTTTCTCTCCAAACTGAGATAGCTGCAGGGGACAGAGGGTCAGGGCAGCTCTTTCCAGACCAGGAGATCCCTCCTACCCCTAGACCACAAACTCAGTTTGTCTAAGTTCTGCCGATGTGCTGCCCTCGTGGGCATCATTTAGAGACCCAGCAAAGCCCCATGCTGCTGTGCAGGGAAACTGTGAGCAAAGCCCGCTCTGCTGGCACGGCTTCTCACGGGCAAAAAGGGCACCTTGTTTCACAAAACTTTTCTAAGAAACTGGTCAAACCACACTGGCAAAGAGCAGCTCCTCTCAGCGTTACTGGCCACTGTGCTGGAAGAAATTTTTCCTTCACCAGCAAAGCCTTGGCAGCAGAAAGGAGCCCTTGGAATGCAGCAGAGTTGAGTGGGGCCCAACCATGCGCTGCCCATCTTATCACCCTTGGAGCAAACGGGGACCACCTTGCCTCCTGCTGCTCACCAAGCACAAGAAAACAGCACCCAGGCAAGCACAGCCTTGCAGAAGCATCAATCCAAGAACAAACCTGGCCCACAGAATCCAGGGGAGAAAAAAAACGTATTTTTCAAACACTCCAAACACATCAGCAAAACCATCAACTTTGCTGGCATTTGTCAACATTGCCGGCTTTTCTCTTTAAGAGACACCCTCCTCCCTTGTCTCTTTAGTGTCCCACTCCACTCTGCCACTGCTCAGGTGTCCCCATGGCACCCCACATGCTGCCTACCCCACACAAGCGCAGTTCTATCCCAGCTGGTTGAAGCAGACCAACCCACAGACATTTGCTTTCATCATGCAGCTAAGCAAACCTTCCCAAGGGCAACTCAACTTCACAACCACATCCCCAGCACGGCTCTGCTGTGGTCAGGAGCCTGAGCCTTACCATGCACCACAGCCAGATGGGAGAGCTGCCCCAAGGTCAACTCATGTCTTCTGATCTGATGCAGGTAAAGGCAGCTCTCTGCTCTGAACTGCTCTCAGACCCTGAGTTAGTTAGCACCCTTGGGTTCAGCTCTCAGCACTGCTCAAGAAGTACGAAACGTAATGAAAATCATACCTCACCTGGCCCTCCTCAGCAGCAGCATCTGAGGGGCCGTTGCACCAGGCTAACCTAGAGACCTGCAAGCTGGAAAAGCAGGTCGTGCTTTAACAGGGCAACCTCTGCGTGTTTTGTGTAGATTTAACTTTCCTGCATCCATTTGCTACACGGTTACCATGGCAATGCTGTACCGGGAGGCTGCTGAGTCATTTGTGGTACAAGGAGCAAAAGGAGGAGAACACCACAGCATCCTTGTCCTTGGCAATCTCATCAGCCACTGCCCAAGGCTGGTTATCCCCACCTCTCTGTAAAGCAGGCTGGTTCCAGGTGACCTGTCTGACTGGTGGCACGGCTCGGGATCACTGCTCGGCAGGGACACCCGGATCCGGATCCGTGTGTATTTGTGAGGGGCAGCAAAACCCGAGCAAACCCTGCTGGGCTGGCTCCTTCCCAATCACACCCCGTGGGGAGGTGAAAAAGGCTGCACAGGAGGCGGGGAAAACCACTGCCATGTTTAGAGGGTAAACTGTAACACCGAGGAGCTCAGCACAAAACATCAGCTGTCTCCTCCCCTTTTGTTACCCAGCTCTTTCAGGCAGAAACATAAACACAAACACAGTCTGACAGCAAAATATAATACTCATTTATCCCCAGAATGAGACCTGTCTGGGATACTGCTTTCATGGCAGTGTTTTAATAACATGGCAGCTCTTCTGTGTATTAAGAAAATTGTGAAATCTTCTTACCTCATCTAGCTTGGTTTGTCGACAGGGGAAGGAGAATGTAAACCCGACTGGCAGTTTCTTGTCTTTGATTTGTTGTTTCTCCATAAAGTCTCCCAGGCATTCAGCAACATGATCAAAAAGCTGTAAGAAAAAATATAAAACCACCATGATTAGAGATACAGCTTCAGGGAGAAAATGTTTCAAACTCCATATGAAAACTGCTCTGAGTGAAGGGAAAGGGGAAAATAGTTTTCCAGATTTTAATTTTAGATTTTATATAAGACATATAAATGGCAAAGCTGTGAAAATACTCTCAAGAAAGGTATATTAACACCTTAATAGCTAATATATTATTAAATGGACTGTGCTTTTACACACCTAATTCTGCAGGCATCTTTTACATCCTTATAAAAACACTTGCTGAAACAAGAGGCTTGTGGCTCTTGAGCCTGCTGTAACCCTTCCACTTAACATTTGATGAGAACAAAAATGTTCTTTTAACCTTTCTATAACAGGAAGGAACGAGTCAAAAGAACATTTGGGATCCAGTCCCACAGGAGGTAGAGTACTCTTACAGTGATGTAGAGAAGACAACATCTGCTTCACTCAAGCTTTGCTGAGACCAGAGAACCCAGCACTTTGCAGGAGCCACTCAGAAGAACATCAACTCTCAAATCCATTCCTAATCATCCCTAAAGCACACAACAAACAAACAGAAAGAAAACCCAAGGGATTCATCTAAATATATCTTCCATCTTTGGAGAAACAACCCAAAACAGGGATATTTTCTGCATTTTTTGAAAGGTTGAACTATGCAGGCAGCCTGCACCAGGCTTGTGGGTACCAACTCCCACCCAGATGCCTCGATGGCATCTGTGACCACAGCACTACGTGTCCCTGTCAGCCAGGCCAGGAACCAGGGAGGCACAAAGGCCTCTCACACTGAGCCATTTGGAAAGCCCCTCAGGTACACTGCAATGCTCAAAGCTGAAATCAGGCCTGGGCAACTGAAGCAACAAAAACACACATTTGTATTTACCAGAAAGCCAGACATGCCTTCAACTGACCCATACCACAGATGGATGGCAAGCTGTTAACAAGTCACTGCCTGCCCCGGGATATAACTGTGCCTCACATTTTAACTCCCTGAAAAACAAAAACCCAAACAAAATAAACCCAATCCTATCTGCAGCACTGGTGGGATGGGAGCAGGTAATCTGCCTAGAAGACTGGGGATAACTGGGAGGGAGTACACAAAGACATCTGTTGGTTCCAATTAGCCCACACAGCTTTATTAAGAACAATTTAGAGTCTTGGAGAGACAGGAATGTACTACAGACAGGCTGCAGCAATTACAAATGATGAATAGGAATACTTTGTCCTTCAAAGCAGGTCAAGAAGCAGCGTGCGTAATGTTACAATTAAACTGAACACCTTAAACTCATGCCTTAAATGAGGTCAGATTTGATTAAGGAAAAGTACAGTGGTTTCCCAGGGAGAATTTTGCCATTCATTGCCCTGGGCAGATCAAGGACATTTTTCTGAGCCCACACAGAGAAACAACACGGGAATGCAATGCACACCACTGCACTTCTGGAAATTTCAGCTGTCCAGATGAGGGACAGAGTTACAAAAAGAACTACAGTTACGTAAAAAAACACAGCAACTTCTCCAGGAGGAAGGCAGAAACAGTAGGAGTGTGTGTTCTGATTACACTTTCCATCTGAAAGTATCTTGCTGAATACTGAATATTGTTTGAATACTCAATCCTACTAAACTTTCAGCTGCTTCCAGGATTACAAACAAAAACCAGGGGCCAACCTCAAACCCCTCGGGAGTTCAGAGAGCAGGAAGCAGAAATGTTGACTGTGTATGTTGTTAGAAAAATCTCTCCCATGCAACCAACTACGAATGCATAGAGAAAAGACGGGATCTGCTTTGTAAGTCTAAATGCAAAAAATTCCTGGGCATTCCCAATAGACTCCAAAAAGTCCATGCACCTGCTGTGTTTTCCCACACAGTCCTGGCAGGAGCTGCTGAAGCCCACCTATGTGAATTAGCAGTACATTGGGAGGGCAGGGAAATGCAATTAACTATTAGCCATAATTTGGGCACTACAGGAGCTGTGTCTAGTGAGTGATGCACGGCCTGGCTGTGCTGCTGTTGTTCATAAACCACAGAGGGAAGGCACAGCTCAAAAGCAGAAAAAAGACAGGCATTTATTAGGTTTGCTGCCACTGACGCTCGTATGATTTTTCCTAAGGAGACTCAAGGAAGCGTCTGTGTGTGCCCATGACCATATTAATATCCAAACCTTACCAGTGCCAAACGACTCTGACTGGACAGTAGAGGCAACATTACAAAGATCCAGCAGAATTTCATTAAAGTAGGGAAGGTGCACAGAGGAAAAAATCGCAATCTTCTTTTACCCACAGATTTGCGGTAGGGAACAGTGTGAACCAAGTATTTTATCATATGTTAAAGAGATGGATGGAGGGAATGCCACAGCCAAGAGGAAAGGAACAGTGATTCACAGACCTGAAGCAATACAGCCTGAGACCCTGAGCAACAGATCAGGCTTAATTCCCCTGACCATGAAGTTGCCCGATCAAGTTTGGCTCCAAGAGGTCTCCACAATGATGCATTTGGCAGACAGGAGACTTGGACCAGCAGCTGAAGATCCAAGCTCAGGCCCAAGCCCCTCAATGGGGATGATTTAAGGAGCAAGGAAACCACAGTTTCAGATCCAGAGAATGGCCACAAATCCGTAAGCTAGCTCCAGTGGTGGCAGAACACAAAAAGCAACACCAAAATCAAGTCTCAGGCATGTTCCCGTTCACTGAGCTGACATGGGAGACTCTCTTCTTACAAATTTTACACCTGCTATTACACTTCTGAAGTCAATGAGAGTTTTGCCCTTCACTTTTATAGGGAACTGTCTCTGACTGGTAAAACTGTCAGCCCATGCCTGACAGACAACAAAAATGGAAGTTTGAATGCCACAAAGTAGAAAATATCAAAAGGAACCTTGCTAACAAGACATGAAGCCATAAATCAAAATCCTTCAATAAGCTGATTATGCACTAAGCTTTAGGAGTGTAACTCAGCAAAGTTAATGACACAGCTTGCTGGAAATCATTAGTAGCCAACCCTCCACAGGCAGCTCAGGCCAAGTATTCCACAAATCTGGCTCGGACATTCAGTAAACCTCAAGATAGACATCGGTCAGAAGAACCAAACTATCAGCTGCCTGTCTGCCTCCTGGGCACCCCCCACGCTTCCCTCTGAAGGCACACAGCAAGCACTGGATATTGTCATGGAACAACTTCAAACCCGAGTGCTATTCTGATAATGCTTCCAAGTTCTGCTCTCATTTTCCTGGTACTTGAATACTGTGCCCATGGGGTCAGCGGAAGCCTTGCTCGCCTTTCTTTCAGCTTAACAGCCATGACAAAGCCTATCAGCCTGAGCTCCACACTGCTGCCTCCCAACAGCCAAATGGCCTTTGGATAGTGAAAAATTAACACACAGATATGACAGTGACATGGAAAGAAAGCAGACCTGACATCTCCCTTCCCAGCTTCTCCTTACCACCCTTATCATGTCTCCATCTAGAATCCCCTAAAGCCAGCCTGCCTTGCCTCCTCAGGACAGACACTTGGGTGTGCAGACAGCCCTGCTGCCTGCCAGCCTCCAGCTCCTGACACCATCCATGGACAAGCATTCCCCTGCTCCCAGCCTGCCCACCCACTTCCCGGCCTCAGCCAGCCACAGGCAGCTCAGCTCAGCTCCCTTCCAAAACCATTCTGTGGGAAAGCCACTGCATGACCTTCTGGCCCAAAAACGAAGCAATAAGGTTAGGAAAAGTCCTTACAAGAGGGTTATTTTACTGCTGTGGTTCAGATATCACAGCAATGCTTTTATCAGTTCTACTGACGAGTCATGATTGCCACCTTACACTCACTGCTGCATAAGAATGCAGAAGCACTTATTACATACAGACAATAAAGAGATTAAGGTGACTACAGAAAATATATTAAAGGTAGAAATGCTGTTCCTATATGTTTTTTCCTCTTCTTTTGTTTATTCTTCTGAAACAAGCTTTGATTTTCCTGCAGGTCTCGTACTCCTGAACAGCACTTCATTCTAATAAAAAGTGTAAAAACCTTGCTGTTTCCAACAATGAATATTACTTGTTTTGACTTATGCTGACATGGAGACAAATCTGCCAGTGTAACTGACTTCCTGATCACAAAAAAAAATTTAAAAAAATCTTTCAAATAACTCAATTTGAAATCCAAGTGAAAAGATACAAATATTTTCTACTCTTGGAACAGGGAAGACTGAAAAAAAAAAACAACCTTTCAATTACTCAGCAAAACTTAAGTTGAAGCTGTGCCAAAACATTCTATCAGCTTCCCGTAATTTTTCTAATGTACTTGTACTTTTCATGAATGCTGAGTTGCTCAGACTGCCAGCACAGAGATGTGGCTGTCATGGGGATTTCTGTCCCTCATCTAACACTACAATTGCAGGGCTGGTCATGTTCATTGCTTGAACAGATGAAACAGATGAAACAAAGACCAAGTTGTTTTCCTGCTCTCCATTTGTACTCATGGAAAGTAAGTTCACCATAAAAGCCAGAATTTTTATTTCTAAGCCATTTTTTCCCCCTAACTTATCCAGAAGCCTCCCACATGCTGACAGCAGGTTTGCAGCACCCATGCATGCTCTGTTACGCTAAGTACTTCTTATCAACTTTCAGTATTGACCCTGGAGTCTGCATGCTGCAGGTACAACTGTTGAGATGTTAAACTCATTCTTGTGGGGGTTTTCTAAAATCTAAGCAGCCAGTCTTTCAGAGAGATATGCCAAGGAAGAGGTGCTTACCCGTGTTCCACTCCCATGCATGATGTCTTCTGGGGTATTATAAATTTCACTTTCCATCTGCACCGTCTGCTTTTTTTCATGCGATACCTTTACCCGAAGAATTCGGAAGTAAGAACCGCCGAGATCCAGAGCAATGAAATCTCCTTTTTCTATGTGGAAAACAAGACACAAGTGATTAAAAATTGCATGCAGCACAAATCTGGGAAACATCGAGCTTGGTTAAGTGCAGTGCTGAAGCAAATGTCCAGTCCCTACAGGAAAGGAGTTCCAGCTGCATCCACGTGAACCTGATTCCAATGATCTGATTCCCTACAATTTAACATGAAGTTGGTGCAATGGCAACTGCAATGAAGGTTTACCCAAAAAGAATCCAAAACAGTGGACACTCTGTATCCATGTCTCATGATGAAGCAAGGATCTCAGGACAAAGCCAAAAGAGATGTTGAAAATAGAGACAGTAAAATGAAGGGATGCCAGACCACTGACAAGCAGCCTTTTGCTCTAAATAAACCTGTGTCATTCTGGCAAATAGCAGTGAATAGCAGCTGCTCTAAAATCAACAAATTAAACACAGATGTAATTAAAGTAGGAACCACCCCTTATCTCATGTCCAGAAAGGATGAGATTCACTGCAAACAGATAAGAGAAGTCAGAGAAACAGCAGCCTAAATAAACAGCCCTGTACTACTGCAGGAGCTACTCAGAAGTTGTGATGCCTTGCACAGGGCTCCTAATATCTGCCCAGGAGCCAGGGAAAGAGTTGGGGTACCTGCATCTCCCTCTGGGCTGCAGAGAGCTGAAGCCAATCCAGTACCCTCCAATCTCCAGACTCCAGGCACGTGGCCTGGCTATCTGAGGAATGACACCCCTGGAGAGCAAGGCAAACATATTTGACTGACCTGCTCGTGCCATCTCGTGCCTTATCAAAGAGGGAGCACGGACAGCGATCATCAAAGTCTGCAAAAAGATACTATTTAGGGAAGCAGTGTGCACAACTTTCTCTCACAGGAGTGTGTGCCCAGGCTGCAGATAATCACCAGGGCTCTTGGCAAGCATTTTGTGTCTGTGCACGGCATCCCCGGGCTCACTGAGGCTGCTCAGAGGGCAGCAGAGCAAAGGCACGCGGTGCTTCCTCATCAGCTGTGACTTTCAGAAGGCCATTCCTAACATCACCATTTTTCCACTTCTACCTAAATTCAAAGTGGAAAAACCTCTAGCAGCTGGGAAGATTGTTCTGACATGTTACCTCAAACACACTCAGCTCTCAGAGCCTTCTGACCCCAGACTGTCACCAAAATTCCATGTATGCAATTTATCCATGAGGATTTCCAGAGGCATATCAGCCTCTGAGATTACTCTATCCACTACCATATCAAACTCCTAAAATCTGACATAGTGAGCTGTTCCTCCTCATCACCCCAAGCACCTCTGCCTCATCCCACTCAGCAAAGCTGATGAACTGGACAAGGTGTCCCTCAGGACATCATCAGGGATCTTTAACAGAAACAGACCAAGAGAGGCAAAAACACACTGCAAATGTCCTTTTGGTTTTCCAAGGTTGCAGTGTAATGCAGAAACAAAACACTGTCATGTGAGAAACCACAAAGGACAATAAACTTCATACAGAAAAACATAGCAAAATTACAGTGGGAGCCCACAATTTCTAATACACCTCCTAATTTTACTGCACTGCAATGCAACTTCTCCTTCTTGCTGCTCAAGCCAAAAGTTTGCCAAAACACAGACCTTGCAGTGCTCCCCTACCTGTTTCTGAGCAGTGTGGCTTTAAACATTGCTTTGCACCAGTACAAACGTCATTTAAAACATGAGCACAAGCAAACTGGAGAGGCAATTCCCTTTATTTGGCCCAGCATAAAAAATTCATAACCTACTTCACCGCGGCAACTCCGGAAGTCAAACACTGGCCACAAGTTTCTCATTAAGCCAAATACTCAAATAAGCTTTATCTTATGGGTATCATCTGTTGAGTGCAAAGCCATTACCTGCAATAACTAATGGGAAAAGCAACATTGGACCAGATGGCCCCTTTTCAAGCCTAAGTGCATACCTCAAACAAACAACACACTTCAGAAATACCTTCCCTGAAAAGAAATTAATGGGTCAGGGTGTTTGATTTCCAGCACCATCAAGCTCATCGCAAGGTAAAAATTATTAAGAATCATCCTTCACTCACCCTTTAAAAGATCTCTGAACTAGAGTGTAAAGCTTTCTGCATGCAGCTGGAGTTTTCTTTTAGTGTGCTTGAGGAATTAAACCCAAGTAGCAGCATTTAATCTGTGCTTTGTAACACCAAGGTGCAATCAAACCTGCTGTGAATTTATTTGGCCTTTGAAAGCATTTTGAATTAGCTTGAGGTACCATTCTGGGCACTGTGGACAGAAAAACCTCATGGCTTTTGTAAATTAAACAACTCTGAATGAAGGGGGGAAAAAAACTGCTAACATAAACACCTCCAGAGTCTCTAGAATTACTGCTCACCAACTCCTTGTTGAAAAAGAACACAAGCACAGATCTGAAACTAAACAACAGTATTTTTCTGAATAGTCAGCTCCCATAATAATAATTGGACTCAGAGGAAAGAGCTTACAAGGCAGTAATTAGAGACAGGCCAGAGAAAAGGGCAGGCTTTCAGCCCCTGGCTTTCACGGAGGGACAGCTGAAGGCAGAAATTGCCATCTTTGGGCACATCCACACAGCCACATCCGTGAGAGCCCCCCAGAACCTTTTGGAGGAAGAGGGAAGGGGGCTCTGTGCCTGTCCTGGCTTCATCCGTGCGCCAGACGTGACAGGCACGCAGGGGTGAGTCAGGGAAAGAAATGCCACAACACCCCCTGACAGCAAATATTGCTCATACCTGGGGTCAGAACATGCCCTTCCAGGGAAAGAATGGAATGGCACTGCCTGCTTTTCTAACACCCATCCAAAGAGGCTCTCACCACCTACACACACAGGTCACCACTGACTTCTATAGAAACTGTCCAGGGCAAAGCAGTGCCTTGCTCTAATCCCTGCTGCAAAGCACTGCCAGCAGTGTGCCCAACCTGCAGAGGCTGGCAGGAGCCAGGCAGGCACAGGATCAAGAACTGAGCGCCCTGGACACAACTCACAAGGTTCTTTTCTTAAGTAGGTGTGTAATGCATGATCTGAAATTAATGCCCTGACATACAGACACGCCTACACACAACCAGGGCTGCTCACTGCTCTGGCTCATCCTCGGTCCCAGCAACGTTCAGCAACCTCTCACACCTCTCCATGTGCAGATCCCCTTTTTCCTGGGCCGCCTCTAAATATTCCCAGTTTGTAGGATGGAACAATTTTCAAAATTATTTGACTCACTGCAAGCAGCTCAGATTTGATACAGTGCAGTGCCTGATGAAGCAGGGAACTGAGGACAAGTCACGACTCAAATGAGCTCAAAACAAGCATGAATGAAAAAAGAGGGATTTTTGGAGCCAGTAAAAAGGCTGGGATTCCACACCAAAACCCTCAAGTCACCTCAAGTGCAAATCTTTAGTGCAACCTCTGCCTGTGACCCAGCTGCGTGTGGTAGCTTCTGGCTTTCTCAAGAGGCTGCAAATTTCAACACAACATTTCAACATAACAGCCAGCGATTCTAAATTAAGGGAAACACAGGATTCAAATACATTCTCCCCTTGTTTTTTTTTTTCAGACAGCAAATCACACCTCAGCTAAAAAGCTTGAGATGGCAGAAAGCAACAGCAAAGCAAAGCTATCAAAGAATTCCACCTGCCAGACAGCACCACCAAGTTTCACAAAGCACCTGGCCCCATGTTATTCCACCAATAAATTCTTAATTCTAACTCAAAAAAAAAAGAGAAAGCTTCAGAATAGGCAATAACTCTGTTGTGAAGTTCTTGCAATCCCTGCACACAGGTTACACACCAAACTAGTTAATCTGGGGTAGGCACCACACTAGTTAACTAGCTCATGCTACATGAAAGGGAAACACAGTGTTACTACTGAATAATAAACACTATTATATAATGTTTATAAATACATTTAGATATTCTATAGATGGTATTTTTTACAAACACATAGTAATTTTTAAGTAATAATTAATAGAGGCAATCTTGGTCTCAATTACCAACAAAACACCTTTTTGGTGTCTGATAGCAGTTTGTGCCTCTTTTATCTGGTACAGTGGGCATGGAAAAAAACAAGTCCTGCATCTAGATGGAGAAAGCTTAGCACACCAGGGGAGCAGCTTTGGAGGCACACACTACATCCTCCTCAAGTTCTGTGAGTTCTCCCCCAAGACAGTCTGGAAGAGGAAGCTACAAAATGCAAAATGAATGCCAGGAAACTCAAATTCAGCCTGTAATGGTTGACACTAGGGAAAAGGTAAGGAGCAGAGATACTAAGAGAAACAGCAAATTACTAAAAGCCACTGTATTTTAGACTCTAGGCCACATGAGTGTGGACTGCATGAATCAAAAGCCATTCTATGTGAAGTATTGATTGTTGGCAGACAGGTCTCAGAGTAAATGTACTGACTGATAGTGAACTGACTGCTAGGAACAGCCCTTCCATTGCCATCAAAGTGGCTTTGACAAGGGAATCACAAAATCTTCCAGCATCTGCAGGAACAGACCTGCACACAGAGGGAAGAATGCTTTCTAAGCATTGCCTGGGCTTGCCAGGAAGTAAATCCATCTTGATCTTGGTAGGATGTTGTATATCTCTAACAGGTTTCCACAAAGCACACCACGTTTAATACAGAAAACAAACACTCAGCTCCTTACCTGAACCGTCAGGAATGGACCTCACAAAGGTGGGAAGCATCTTCACCGCGGCTGTTGGGTTAAAATCCCTGGAGAGGCCGTTCTTCATCTCTCTCCTGAAGCGAGCCATGACGTCCAGCAGCGTTTCGTCAGAAAGCCGCATGGCGTAGAGGTACTTATCAATCTGGGGAAGACACACACCAGCCCGGGGTGAAAGGCTGTCCTTTCTCACTGCAGGGATGGTGTACAGCCCCAGCATGGTCCCAGGGCTCTGGCCAAGCTGACAACACAGCCACACGCCTCGTGCCTTATCTTCTGACTCAAATTCACAGAAAATGTACAAGTCTAGGGCTTACTGAGGTGAGCTTTGCCTCCTCTCTTCCACACAAAACCATCTGCCCACAGCCTCAAAATACCACCTCCAGCCCTTGCCCCACTTCTCAGCTCTCCTGACTGTCCAGGAGCCAAACAGCTGGAGCTAAAATCCCTCTTTTGACACCTTGTCCCAGCTGGGGTGATGTGGGTGTCAGAGGTGCTTTGTGTTTAAAGCCTCACATTGGGAAGGCCTTGCCACAGTACTTTTGGGGCTACATCACAGGCTGAGAAATTATTTTCCTGCAGCAGACCACTTTCCCTATCCCACACCAAAGCTGTAACAACCAGAGGGTCTGGAAAGACAGAACTTGACAGTGGGCAGGCAGCACCTTCCTTCTCAAGACAAAACACCAAATTAAAAGTTGTTGACTTGTCCCTTGTGGCTTCCAATGACAGGAGCTTGCTTTACCTCCTTGGAAAAAGGAGGCAGTTCTAGTTTTCCACTGCTTTCTGTAATACTGCAACCACCTTCACTGTCTCTCAGAAGACTGAGAATATGTATGAAAAATACAACATGGCCTTGAGGGGTTCTTGCCAAACACACCTCTCACCTTTTTTACCTCAGTTGCCAGTCTATTCTTGCCTTGCTTCCTTACCTGCCTTGGAAATTTGGTTCTGTAAATGGCTCAGATCGAAGCCACACCTTTGGGATCACTTTTGCTCGCAGCTTAGCAAGACCGAAAAAATAAAGCCCTGCCCATGTTTTCTGTCCTCAGCAAAACTGGAAAAGCCACCTCATTTTAAACCCCAGGCCAGCTCTGTGCCAAGGCTCCGTGTGTCTCCTTGGCTGCCCTGGAAGCTTTGAGAGAAGCTCATCTCCAAGCTGGCATTATGTCTTACAAGACCGAGGCCACAATAAAACACTTCATATGAAACACGCATACGCGAGTGCTCCGTATACCGGGGACTTTGAGATGGGAAGCAATGAACAACGCCCTTCACAAAGGAAATGCAATCAAAATGTCATTAAACCCTAAAATGACCATAAAACCGGCACCAATTTAATTGCTCGTACAGAAAGTGCTCCTGCCCGCCCTACTCAAGGTCTCCCCAAAGACAGCATCTCCTCGAGCCAGACACCCTCCTGCCATGACCCAGCACTTATTTACACAGACGAGGCAGAAGGCAATGGAGAGTGCTGCTGGGCACAGCTACCCAGCCTGATCCCAAACCACAGGCAAGCCTGGACCCCAGGGGACACAGCCAGAGGCTGCACAAGCTGTAGACTTTTCAATGTCATTGCTTGCAGAGGAACAATACCATGATTGATAATACCACGACGAAATGAGACCATGCATTTTCCCCACGAAGCGGTGACGTGACAGTGCAGGCGTACAGCTGAAGGGTAGAAGAGCTGAGCTCAGGTTCTCTGCAACAGAGGCCAAATGCAAGACCCCAGGACAGCATCCCCACATCCCTGCCATGTCCTGTGCTGCCCTCATGGGCTGACAGCCCCTTCACAGCAACAACCACAGCCAGTCACTGGCATCATTTCACTCCAAGAATAAAAACCTGGATGAGATGTGCCCTCTCTGCAGCCCCAAATGCCGTGGGGATGGATGCAGAGGTTGGAGTCTGGCTAAGCAATAAGGTCTCTCCTTCTCTCCTTCATGGCAAACCCTGCCATGGGTTTGTTTTTTTTAGCAGAGTGTGTAAAGCCATGATGTCAGAGAATGAGGATACTCCCTTTAAAAGGAGGCGGGGGGGGGGGGAACCAACCTCTTTTTCAGGCTGAGCTTTCAGCAGCCCACGCTGCCGCTCAGAGGGACGATTCCCCAGAACTCCCAGTGAAAACTACAGTAAACATCATCCACAGTCAGACCTCACCGTGCAACTAATACACCCCTCTACAAAGCCCCACTGCTGCATCCTCCTCCCAAAAGCAGGGCGGAATGATTCCCGCTCACCGAAAGCCCTGTTGTGAGCGCAGGTTGTGGCGTTTGCACAGTCAGGACTGACGAGCCCATTCTCCCCACCTCTGCCCCTGTGCTGCCCTCAGCAGCGAGGGAAAACGGGAGGGAGGGCTCTTTTTTGCTGCCGTGAAAGACCAATGAGCGCTGCCAGCGCCCTTACATAATTGGGCTGGACCCTCCTGCACGCAGCGAGCATCGCGTTTTATGGCACCGAGGCCATCCATCTCCACCGCTGAGATTCCCGGGGCGGGGACACTGAGCCTCTGCTTGAAAAAAAACTCACTCCTATGTGTTACAGCTTCCAAAACCACGAAATACTAGGGGGAAACAAAAAAAAAAGGCAGTTTTTTGTTTGTTTTTTTTTCCCCTCCCAGGCAGGTTAGTCATTCCAGCAGTGTGGCAGCAAGGGAGTAAGTGCAGCCCTCCAAGGGAAAACTCCCAGCAAACAGCCATAAATAACTTGAGGCGGGGGGAGCCGGAGGCTGGATTATGGGATGGAGGTTTAATAACTCCCTGCTCTGCCGGCAATAAAAGCCGATCACAAAGCAAATCTCAGCCGTATGCACGGGGAAGCTGTGGAAAGGCTGCCCAGGACACACAAGCAGCCCCGCAGCCCCACTGAGGATCCCGTGGGAGACAGGTGCCAGCCCTTCCCAGGAGAGATGGAAGAGGGCAGGAACAATTTCAGACTGACAGTTGTGTGAGCAAGGAGCAGAAAACACTTCTTTATTTAGCTGCCACCTCAGAGTCACCCCCCAAGGAAGGGCATCTTCCCAGTCTGCCACTATGGGAGTCCTCCAACAGCTCAATCATTTTTTCCCCTCCTCCTTTTCTTAAAAGAGACCAAACCAAAACAAACCAGAGACAGAATCTGAGAACAATTTTTTAAAAATAGGATTTCATCATCTGAACCACACTCACGTAATTTTTCCTGGTCTCATAGGAAAGACACAGTTTGTACTTGGGGAAAAGAAGTTTCAGAGAATCCAGCCACTGCAGCAGTTGTGAATAATTATAAATGAAACACGCAGCACTAAAAGCTTGAACCTAAGGGCTATTCCTTAAACACATGCCTCATTCCCCGGACACTGACAACAGTCAGTGGTATCCAAGAAAAGAGCACTCCCACAAGAATTTCAGAAATCATTAGCACCTATTTCACTGACACAGCCTTCATACCAAAAGCCCTTCACCATGAAAACATCTTTCTGCAGAGCTAATCATACTCCTCTCAGCATGAGGAAGATTCACCAGGAGCCAAAGCATGTTGAAACAAGTAGTTTAGACATTTTGAAATTGTTTGTGCTTACTTACGATTTATCAGATTGGTTCCTAAAAAGCCTTTATAGGGGCAGGTGATCAATACAGGGCTCTTCTGGACAGCAGTTGTTACATTTTAATACTCCATTCCATCACGTTTTTTTCAAGGTTAAACATCTACATGTCACTCCTGGATTGCAAGAACTTTTTCTTCACTCGGGTAAGACAACAAAAACATATTGTTCCCCTGACAGACAGAAACCAGGCAACACCTAGAGGCTCCCTTTGCTGGGGCCAGCTACGGCAGGTACAAACCTGTTGGAAACAAAAGGCATTTTACAAAGCTCTCCTGCACACAGGCCACTGGCACAGATGCCAGGGATGCTCCATGACTCCCTCATCCCTCAGGATGGGAGTCAGCTCTTTGGAGAAATCAAGGCCACAGCTGAGTTTGTGCCAAGTCCCCTGTCCGAGCAAGGGTGCTGGGCTCCTAGAATGTCACAAACATTCAGGGAACAGATGTCTGCAAAAACATCTGGATAATTTAAACTGCTTGGACTACAGGTGTATTCACACAGGGCATCACACACTGCCAGCTTGCTGCTGCACACTAAGGTGACATGGAAGTGCCGTTACGAGTGGTTTCGCTGGAAAATGCTCCCTTGCAGGGGCCACAGGGTTCATGCCATGAACAACCCCTTCTGTCAACACTACACCTCCACCCTGCCTATTCCCCCTCCTTGCCACGACTCATCTTGGAAAACATTCCAAAAAAATGACAAATTTGAAAAAACCCACCCTGAAACTTGAGGGGGTACGCACAAACCCAGCAGAACAGCACTAGTTCCTAGATGCAGGCTCTCCCCAGGGTCTGAAACCACCAGCCCCATCCAGGCCCCTCGACAGGCTTCCCACCACAGAAAGGCAGCTGCAGAGCGTTAGTGCTACACAGAGACAGGAATTGAAAAAAAAAAAATAGAAGGAAAAGAAGATCACAAGAGAAGAAGCATGTTCAGCCTTGGCTCATCGGTACTTTTAACCTGTGACCCACAGCAGAATCCTGAAGGTGAGCTGTCTGCCTGCTGGACTGATGGCTTTGATGGACCAGCGAGGCAGAGGAGCAGCCAGGGCATCCAGGAGCCCCACGGGGCAGCAGGGAGAGCAGAGCCAACGCCTTGGTTGGCAGCCCTCAGCCACAAGCACGTACCAGCAGAAAGGGCAGCTCTTCCGGAAGCGGGGAGGAGAGGGAGGGACCTGAAACGAAGCCATGCAGGCACGTATATCCCTAGAAGCAGCACACTGATGGAGAGCAAACCTCACAAGCAGCAGGCTGAGATGGAGCAAGAGCACTTCTGCCCCACAGGGAACCAGGGGATGGAGCTCACCAGCTCCCAGCAGAGCCTCTGGCTGCCACAGGCATCCTCCCTACAGAACAGCCAAAACTGAGGAGGCTCAATATCCGTTCCAAAAGGATACAAACAGGAAAATATGTCTTACATCCTCTAAAAACAGCAGCTTGCTTTTTTGACTTTTCAAGTGGTTTTTATTTTTTTCCTTCACTTTTCCAGACAAAACCGGATTGATCCATAAGAATGCTTTACAGCTCCCTGGCCAAACTGTTTCCCATGCT